GGGTTATAAATTGTATGTTTTTACCTTGTTCATTTGATTTTATATTCTGCAATATTTTCGTTCGACATTAACAACCGAGTATAAAGTCAAAAAATGCAATAAAAAATCCCATCAATCACACAACCTAACCTACAAAACAATAGCGATGATTGACAGTTGGTTGTCAATTTTTTCAATGGGATCGTGATCAACAAATTAAACGTCAAATTTCATCAATTTCCACGTAAATTTTGCAAAATTTCTCCCTGCAATGTGAATTCTCGCATTACAATCGTGTAAAACGTCAAGCGAAATCGATTTCCATCGAAAAGTTGTTTGCACAAAACCAACTATGTATATAAACGGTAATACTCACTCGTCCAAGTGTTCTCCAAGGTCCTGCACTGGCACGGTAACGTTTATCGAAACAAAAAACTGAAACGCGTTGCAACACAAAACATGGAAATAAAGTGAAATTTTTACGACAAAAACCACATACCACCCGATACTGTCGCGGATTTTCTGTAAAATAACGTAGCGCCGGTTGCTGCACATGCGCACAATCGGGCACAGGGATGCCTGCGCGGTTGCCACGTTTCCTCGCAGGAATGCACAGGTTTTGGGGAACATACCTATTTTTGAAGTAAAAAATGTCGATTTTTAATTAGTAATGGATAGGTCATTTATTTATCATATAAAACAATCATTATACCTGTTTAAAACTATAAAAGCAAAAATAATTATTTGTTGGCTATAACTATTTTTGTATTGACCTTACAATTTAATTATGTTTACTACCTACCTAGGTATTAACCAGTGGCGGCCCGTCAGGGGAGGCAGGTGAGGCAGTGCCTCATCATAGAGAATTAAAAAATATATATATAATTTAAATATCTTACTTTCTATAATATACTATAAATTTTTACATTTGGATTACATTAATAATTACAATTATTGTGAAATAGTCAATAAAATTGATTGATTTTAAACTTGGAATACCCAGCAACATTTAAATTATTTGAATTTGAAACGACCGCAATTTAAACTAATATTTATAGATAGCTCAGAAGCATGCCTGAACTAATTTAGACTAACGATTGGCGTTAGCCTCGTTGTCTCGTTCTATTACAATGCGATATCATAGTTGTATCCTTCTCGTATTAGCATACGCGAGGCAGGCACGCCTACATCCAAGGAAATAAGCAGGTGTTGTGGCAACACTGTTGCGGAATTTTAGATAAATTGTACTTCACCCGTTTTTCAAAATTGAATAATAAATGGTATTATTTTTCTTATAATAAATCGATTTAATCGAAATTATATTTATATTCTAAAATAAACATATTTTAACACTATCGCCATCTTGTAGCCAATAAAATAAATACAGATTCCTTCTTTAGTTTTATTTAGGTTATAAAATTCTGAACTGTTTAAAGAACAAATCTGTGGTTATTTACGCAATATTTTGTTTATTCTTTTTCTATGAGTTTGTCTATTTTATGATTCTTTTGTAAGTGGTTTATTCTGTGGGTTTAGTATATTGAACTTGGTGATTTATGTGAATTTAGTCATTATGGATATTCTGATTCTGATAGTTTAAACTATTTTATAAGTTAAATAAATCAGTTAGATACCTAGGTAGTAGCTACTGCTTTTTATAAAAATGTAGTTTATGCTAATTTCCCACAAATTTCTTGTTTAGCAGTTACTGCCTTTCTCCATAGTTGGGCAGTACTTCGGTGAGAAATTGTACCGATATTGTTGACTTTCTTTGGAACTTTCCATTTAGTCGTCTTTCTTTCGATGATAAAATGTTTGTTAAGGAATTTGGTGTCCCTCCGAGGGACTCCCTCGTCCAGATTTAAGTAATCTATTAATCAATCCTGGTAAACCTAGTCGTGCTTTTGTTAATACTTGGTATGAAAAGTGTTCGTGGTTAACGCCCTGATAGCACAGTTTATTCTAAGAATGTTTTTTAAACCTTCCAGTGAGAATATTCTTAGGATCATGCTATATTACTTCTAGTCATATTCTAAGAATGTTTTTTAAACCTTCCAGTGAGAATATTCTTAGGATCATGCTATATTTCTTCTAGGCATGTTCTAAGAATGTTTTTTAAACCTTCCAGTGAGAATATTCTTAGGATCATCCTATATTTCTTCTAAAGAACATGCTTAAAAGAAATATAGCATAATCCTAAGAATATTCTCACTGGCCTCTAGGCAGGTTCTTAGAAGGTGCAAAGTTTAGTGGTAAAAATTAATCGACTCTAAGCATATGCTTAGAATGTTGAGAAAGTAATTAGTATTAAATACTAAGTAAAAAACAACCCAAAATATTTTTTATAGTTATTTATCAAATTAAAACAATATTAGATAACAAAAATACTTTTGCTATAGGTATCTAAATTATCCGGCTTTTACATAAAATCTTCTATCCAACTTAAATACAATGAAAAATGTTTTTTTTATGAAGAACTTTTTGGTTTTTTCTTTTATGAAGAATTATTTTTTAAGTAAATATTTTGTTTTTTATATTTTATTTAATGTTAAAAATAATATTTATTAATTTGTATACCGATTTTTTATTTCTGAATTAACATTTTTATGTATAATAATCCTAACTATCTTCAACTTCAATCTAATCTGACTTTTACTTTTTATGTAATAATGTCATACAACTTATGGTTTAGAGGTCAAATTGTTTATTTAATACTTTTAAATAAATATATATTAATATGTCACAAAAATTTTTAAGGGGACGACAAATACATTTCACTGTCATATTATGACAGTGAGGCGTATTTGTCGTCTCCTGAAGAATTTTACGAATGTAAAATACAACATATTAGAACGTGGGTATCTGACATATTTGGAAATATTCTCAAAAGCTTCCTAGAAGCTCCATAAGAAACCTTCTAAGAACATTCCGAAAACGTATTCTTAAAATGTTCTTAGATTGCTTTTTAGGAAGGTTTTAAGAAGCTTCTAAGAATCTACTTGCATCATTAAAAGGGTATCTATTGAATGTTTTAAAAGTCCCTAAGAACATTCTTAGCAATAAGGGAAGGTTCTAAGAATATTCCATTATTCCGAGTCGTATCTTCTTAGAAGATTCTTAGAATCAAATTTTGCTATCAGGGCGGGATCTCCTTTGCGTAAATAATTGTTTTGTTGGCATTGCCTTTTATTTTCGAATTCTGATGAAGTAGTCTGGCGAAAAACAGGGTTTTGCAATTTAAAAAATCTTTATCGTTCCATTGAAAATCATTCAAAGTCAAAACATCACATAACATCCAATTGTAAATTATGTCTTCTGGGCATATACCTATAATGCTTCTGGGCGAAACCCTGCCTCTGCCTCACCAAAATGAAATTTCACGGGCCGCCACTGGTATTAACTGTAATAGTACCTGGTAATTTATTTATAGAAGTAGAATGTTTAATAATAATACATAATGTACTGTATATATACCGTACCTTCATTTGCAAGCTAACCATAGGGAAAATACATTGTAACTGGACCAGATAAGTCTTAGTCAGCACGAAGCGAAAAACGTTGTAGAAATGATTTGGACGCGTGGAAGAGTAGGCTAGCATGCGCCGTAACAGTTGACCTTGCTTCATACATCGATGCTTTATTATTGTTTTTTATTCGCTGTTGCTAGTGCACCGCGTGCGGTGTACTATTCTGCACCGCCAAATTATATATTACGTCATAAACCCAAACCAACCCAAACTCAATAACACAACCCAACCGACCCCGCCCCATTGCCCCCCCCCGCCCCATTGAGCAAAAAACCCAACTAAAATGGGCAAATTTATGTTACGATAAAAATAAAACACTTTAACAAAGGAACAACAAATTTATGAAATAAAAAAAGTTCGACAACTTCTATTAGATTTTATGTTACGATAAAACTAAAATAAACCAACCAACCCAACCCAACCGAACACAAAGAAACAACAAATTTATGAAATAAAAAAATAAAAAAAGTTCTTAGTATCGAACCCGGGACCTCTCGCATGCCAATCGCCCGCCCTACCATCTAAGCCATCTAGCTTGTTGTCAAATATTAAACGCTCGGGGAACAAAAACGGATTATAATTATGACGTAATTGGCGGTGTAGAATAGTACACCGCGCGCGGTGTACTAGCAACAGCGTTTTTTATTTTGTGCGGTGTAAAATTTGTTTTAGTACGCATGTCTCGACGACGCATCCAAATCATTTCTGAAAAGGTTCTCGCTTTGTGTTGACTGTGACTTATCTGGTCCAGTTACAATGTATTTTCCCTATGGTTAGCTTGCAAATGAAGGTACGGTATATATTTATCTACTCCTAAAATGTCGAACTGTGACTTTATGGCATTTTAGTTACGGGCTGAAGTTGGAAACAGTGGCTTTCAAGCATTTTAGTTACGTGCCAAAGTTAGCTTTATTATAAATTGGGAAAAAGTTAGTGATTTGTCGTATAAAATTGGCTTTAAATTCTGTTTTGTATTCGTCTTAGAAAAAGCATAGTATGCAACTCGTTTATGAACTTCTCTAGGCACTCGTTTTTATCAAGCACTCGCTCGCAAGCTTCGCTTTTGCTTAATTGAACTAAAATCGCGTTCATAAAACTCGATACATTATATACTATTTTTATATTTTGTAAATGTAGACCAAATTTTTAAGATTTTTTATGTAAATACATTTATTTTTTTAATTTCAAACATATTTTATTTCTAAAATTTAGTTTTTGAAAAAATCTGACAACCTCGCATTTATAAAGTCGATAAAGCAAACTGATGAAATTCGATTATTTAATAGGTTTTATTACGCCTAATTTTGTATTTCATTGTTAAAATACTAAAACTTATTTTACAATATCACTTTTTGCTTGTATTTAAAGAAAAAAGCAAATTTCTGTATTTTTTTAATGTAACATAGGCAACCCAGTATACAAAATAGTTTTTAATACTATTTACTGTATTTCGACAATCAAACATCATACTTATTAATAATAACACAAAATAAGTGTAAATAGGTTTAAATTTGCCATAAATTTCTTCAAATTACAAGTTTTTAGTTGGTTATATCTATAGTTTCTTCTAAGGTTAGTTTCTGTTTAGTTTCTTAAAGTTGGCTACCCATTATGTCAAAAACTTTGACAGTTCCGATAAAAATGGTGATTTTCCTGTAATGAATCCGCACGTTAAAAGTGACGAATTACGTGAAATTAACGCAAAAATTCGCAAGTAAATAAAAAAACCCCGAAATACTTCCCGCAATGGCTGACATGCCATTTTCGCAGCGTGAAGTTGTAGGGCTGGTTGTTAGGTTAACCCTTGTTTCCGCCGTGACTTTTTTGAGCATAAAATGGCTCATGAACCAAGTGGACCCCACCAACAAAAGCAAATCGCAGGCAAAGAAAAAAGCCGTCAGCCAGCTAAAAAGGTAAGACATAACCTCATTCCTACGACCAAAAACTGACTTCAAATTACAGGCTGGTCGCTTCTGGCAACGCTCCGTTGGAAATCGACAATTTAAACGACTACGAAATCGTTATAGCTTCGCATTTAATCCATCCAGAGGATATTAAGATTAGCTGGACTAATATCGCAGGGTTAGATAGCCTGGTGCAGGAGTTACGGGAAACTGTGATAATGCCAATACAAAGAAAAGAGCTGTTTGCTGATTCTCAGCTTACGACAGCCCCCAAAGGTGAGAAAATATTACAAGGCTGAAATAATTGATACAATGTTTTACAGTGTATAAGTTAGTTAATGCACTAGTGCATTAAATTGGAAAAAAGTTAGGTTAAACCCATCTGACAGATGTCAGATTTGTAAAAAGTGAGGTTAATACTGCTTGATGTTGGATAAAATGTCAAATAAAATTGACTTTAAATTCTTTATTTTGCGTCCAATCCAGTTTAAACTTGGTAAAAAGTAAAAAAGATAATACATTATCTTTGGTTGGAACTTTTTAAAAGATGTCAGTTTTTTAATATGTACGGGGGCGACCAAAATGATAATTAAAATCGGGAAAAAGTGAGGTAATGATAAGTTTTGTTATTTTTAAAAATTACTTAATTGGAGTAGAAAAATCATCAAAATAATGCGCATTATCTCGTATAATAATGTACTATTATACTATTATGATTGATTTTTCTCGATTTTGGTGCAAGAATGTCATATTCTCTCACTAAAATCGTTTAAGAATGAAGCTCATTCTTAAACGATTTTTAGTATCATTTAATTTTCAAGTATTGGTACCCTCAGGGTACTACCCTGTCAAACTTTTATAAACCTAAATTCATGACTTAAGATTATTTGTATTCTTTTCAACAAACATTGACAAATGAGCCAAACAGGCCAATAAAATCTTTTGTGACATTTTACACCGCTAAATATACACAATTGAATAGGTCAATGCAGAAACTGAATATGTCCACTTTTTAGGGCTATTGAGTTAAACATGGATTTACTATAAGTAAAGGGAGCCCGATCGAATGGCGTAGAAATTTCACATGTCACGGTAATCTAGAATATACAAAGGCGTTAATATAGTAGAGAAACTGAATATGTCCAGAACATATGTCCACTTTCTGTTCAGTTTTTCTTATTTATCTCAAAACTAGATAGGTAGGACATATTCAGTTTCTGCATTGACGTATTCAATTGTTTAAAAATTTTAGTAAAAAAACAAAAAATACAATACTTTACAAAACTTTCAAAAAATTACACAAAACTTATTTTTCAGTTGACAATAGTTAATAAAATCTACCTTACTTAGTAGTTACCAACTGACATTTTTCAAGAAAAATTTCAAACTAGCAACTTCAAAAAAATTTAAGAACAAAACGCTAAATAAGCCAAAATCGAGAAAATAGTATAGAGGCCTTCTGCAACTTCAGAATATTTGTCAATTAACTTCCAAAATACCACAATCCACAAGACAAGGTCTATTCTATCTTGTTCTATCAGGCAGCTAGGCAACCCTCTGCACAGACTAACGGCGGCCATTTTTATGTTTACAATTATTGTGCGTTCATAAAGAACGCTCGGGGTAAACTCCAGCACACAAGGTCGTTCATAAACGGATTTTATGCGTTGTGCACATTTTGTGTAACCGTTCATAAAATACCTAGTTCTACACTCGGAGTGTTCGAAAATTACCGCTTCTACAACACCGGCGTTTTTCACACGACTTCAGTGTTGCCACTTGTAACATAATTATCGAATTGTAACATAAATTTTTCTAAAAACAAAGCTTAAAAATTATATGTAACATAATCGATAATTGTAACATAATTTTTAATCCAAGTATCTGGACAAAATTAACTTAATTCTATCCAGATTAATTAATTTAATTAAGCATAAAGCCTGATTTATAGATTTCCTTCCTTCCTGCCGTAAAAGATCAACAATACCGTAGTACTGTTTATAGATTCCCGTACGGTATTTATAGTTCTAAAGGTAACGGTAGAGGCAGCGGTAGCGGTAGCCAAGTTGGGCATTGAATATTATATGAAACAATTTATAGTTGTCAGATAGTTTTGAATACGTAGTGGTTTCTTTAACTTTCTACTCCGAGTAACCATTAACATAACTTCATCGTTATCGCTACTACTTTCGTCGTCTGCATCAGAAAAAGCAATTGGAATTTCAAATAATGTTTGGAAGCCCAAACTGGAACAAAATATAGCTGCTTCCATGAGGTTAACTTTGACGTCAAAAACGCAAATTGTGACAATCGAAATGTCAGGCGTTCAAAAACCACCCAGCACCCTAGGAACACTCCGCGCAAAACTCACATTACACACGAGATAAACACCCTATAATCAGATTTCCTTTATGAACGCACTCCAGGTAGAATAAGGTTTATTTTTTACAAAAGAGGAGTCCTTAGCACTTTAAGGTCTTATTTAAGGGTTACAAGTGCCTCTGTAAGAAACACAACGTTTAAAACGATTTTTAACCTGCATACACATCACAAACTCGAAGCACAAGAATTGTAAACAACATAAAAATGGCCGCCGTTAGAGTCTGTTGCCTAACTTCGTGATTTTTAGTAGAACATACAGTTCATTTTTTTATTTGGTCTCGTGTTTTTTTTATTAAGTTGGTAGCTTATGCCAGTTTGATTTAGTATTTTTAGTATTTAAATGGTACTTCTGCTGAAGACCTTAATTAAATTGCTGTGACTAGACTCTAGTCACTAGAGGCACGCTAACGTTCCGCGATTCGAAATGTTAAAGGCACGTTAGTTACGTCATAATTATTTTACGTCATTATTTTAAGATTTTATGTTACGAAAAAACTAAAACAAAACAACCAAACCAACCAACCCAACCCATCACTTTTTAACAAAGGAACAACAAATTTATGAAATAAAAAATGTCCGACAACTTCCAGTAGGTTATATGTTACGATAAAACTAAAACAAACCAACCAACCCAACCCAACACTTTTTAACAAAGAAACAACATATTTATGAAATAAAAAAACTTCGACAACTGAGTGTCGAACCCGGTTCCTCTCGCATGGTAAGCGACCGCCCTACCATGAGAGCTATCTATCATCAACTTTAGAACGCTCGGGGAACAAAAACGGATTATTATATATTTCGAATCGCGGCACGTTAACGTGCCTCTAGTCACAGTATAATTAAATACTAGGACACTGTCAAATTAACAGTAATATTTATTATTGATAATTTACTTGTTAATTATTATATAATATCGATATAGAAAGATAACCATGCCAAAAATAATATCAGATTCTAAAGTAAAAGAACCTTTAAGGGCAAAACTTAATTTTGATGAAGTTATGCCAAATGCCTCAATGGCAGAAAAAGTACATCGCTTTATGGACATTTTTGGAGTAAAAAAGTAACGTTTTTGGTTTTCCAAATAAATCACACCATTAACCATTTGAGTCCAATGATTGGAAAACATTCACGTGTATTCACATAAAATTTTAATTTCTTTTATATGCCCTACTCACCTATATTTATCTACTTTTATATGATTTTACTCATCTACACACCACCAAAGCCAAATTAATTGCATTTTTAACTACGAATGACAACCTTTTAATGTAACCTACAATAATGTAAACATAACCACAAATACATTTATAACTAGTTTAGTTTGTTTTAATCAATGCAACCAATTTTGGTTCCGTATTTACCAACCAAACCCCTAAATTTGCAACGTTGCCGCAGTTCATATAAAAAAATGAACTTTACCTTGTGAATTGTGCAAAATACTTAAAATTAATAAAAATACCGAGCATTTGTATTGCGCATGCGATTTTGATATTGTGCATTACCCTGACGTCTATTCAACATCCTAAATATCGGTAGGAACAAATCTAATATAATTTTAACTGTGCAACAATGAAAGATCCATTCCCAGCACAAATTAACCTCTTGGAATCGTTTTTACCATATTCCTTGGTAAAACCGAAAAAAATCTAAATGCAATTTTTTTGCAGGGGTTCTTCTTCACGGCCCTCCTGGTTGCGGCAAAACCCTCATCGCCAAGGCGACCGCTAAAGAGGCGGGAACTCACTTCATCAACCTCGACGTGTCGATTTTGACGGACAAGTGGTACGGGGAAAGTCAAAAACTAGCTGCCGCGGTTTTCACTTTGGCCGTCAAGCTGCAGCCTTGCATAATTTTCATCGACGAAATCGATAGTTTTTTGAGGTCGAGGAACAGCTCCGACCACGAGGCCACGGCCATGATGAAAGCCCAGTTTATGAGTCTATGGGACGGCTTGATAACCGACTCCCAATGCACGGTAATCGTGATGGGGGCTACAAATAGACCGCAAGATTTGGACAGGGCTATTTTGCGCAGGATGCCGGCCACATTCCACGTATCGCTACCCAGCGCCGCGCAGCGTTGCCAAATTTTGCGGTTAATACTGCAGAACGAGCCCGTTTCCCCGGATATCGACGTGGACGTCATAGCGCAGAGCACCGACGGGTTTTCGGGGTCGGACTTGAGAGAGTTGTGTCGCAACGCCTCTATATACAGGGTGCGCGACTACCTGAAGAACCACGTGGAGCACCGGACAACGTCGCAATCGTCCGATGAGGAGTTCCACGACGCCCTAAGACCCATCACAATGGAGGATTTAAAGATATCCTTCAGCAAACTGCGCGACAGTAAAATTCAATGCGGATCTCTTTCGATGCAGACTCGGATAGACCTGGACTAGTTTTACGCTGACACTTTTAGGGATTTAAATGTTAAAGAAAAAATGTTGGTACGTTTCGCAGCAAGTTTCAAAAAATGCCGGGGTTTTAAATAATATATACAGTGTAGTCAAAGAATAAGTAGTTTTTTTTCAATCCTCGAATAAAGTTTTTTTTTCTGTTAAAATTTCGGTGCCATGCTATTTTTTCATGTAGTCGCCCATATTCCATTATTCAGCGTTCGAAAACGTTATAAAAATTATTTATAGCACGTTTTTAATATACAGTCTGAATGTTTGTTATTATAATAAAATTAATTTACGAGAAACTCTGTTTTTGTGTTTTATTAAAGTCCCACTGATATTTTAATAAGAGGAATGCAGTAAAATTATTGAGGTTATGTATGTGTCAATTTAACGCTAATTTCGTCTATTTCCTGAGAAGAAACTGAATTTAACTCTATAACTTAAAAGTTCGTTTTCGATTTAATTTTTTGCACAAAATTTGATATTCGGGACTGAGGTAAAAAATTCTTGTCTGTTTCGTCTCGTTTCGCGCATACTAAAAGTCGCGAAGTTTGGCAACCCACTGCACAGACTCTAACGGCGGCCATTTTTATGTTGTTCACTTGGGATTTGGGTTTGTGCTGTTTCCACAGATTAAAAATCGTTTTAAACGTTGTTTCATCAAACTGTTAAATTTCAATTTTAAGGTTAATTTACCATAACCCACAAATTAACCTTGAAATTGACATTTGACAGTTTGATGACAGCCCTGATAGGATAAGGTATATTTTTAACAAAAGAGGAGTAAAATGGTTGCCCTTAGCACTTTAAGGCCTCTTTTAATGCTTACAAGTGCCTCTGGAAGAAACACAACATTTAAAACGATTATTAACCTGTATAAATAGCACAAACCCGAAAAATGAATAATTCAATTATTCAATTATTGTTAACAAAAAGTCTCTAAAAATTGCTATTTTTATTGAATTGGAACATTTTGGAGGCTTTTTTCTTAAATATTATCTAAACTGGCCAAATTAGTAATTTTTAGTCAAAAATTCCTTATTTTATTGACTTTTTTGTCATAAAAGGTTCCAAATGGCCATATACAGGGTGTCCCAAACGGCGAGATTATTTTAAAAAATAACAATTTTTAAAGTAGATTTTCAGTCATAAAAAAATTAAAAAATGTTTGGTTACTTTTTGAGTTATTAAAAATTACCAAAGCCATAAAATATCACATTATAATATTCTGTTCAAAATAATTATGATTACTTTTACAATATTCATAAATAACAAATTTTAATGTGTGAATTTGAGTAAGGTAGAGATGAGAGGTGTAACGTTGAAAATGTGAACCAAAAGATGGCGTCGAATTAAAAAATTGTTTTATCATTTGGCGCCATTCTTTAATTCGTTTTCACAAAAAAAAACATCTCGAAGCGACGCCATTTTTTAGTTCACTTTCGACTGTGTGGAATGGGTCTAAGGTAAATAATTTACCGTAAATTTACACAATAGTAAAAACATAATAAACCCTAAACCACAGTATTCTGTGCTTAAAAGTATATTATGTTACATATCAAACTTGATACATAATTTATGTATCAAGTTTGATAAATAGACCAGTGCAGAAGCCTTTAAAAATGGTAAAAAGAGAAAAAAAATAACAGTAGGATGAAACCCATTGGAAAAGGAGGGGAATATAATAAAAATTAAAGGAAAAATAAATTACGGGCGATCTGAGTTCGGGAAGTGGGAGGGGGGGGTTTTAAGGGTAAAAAATGGTTTATCTCGATTTCCGGCAAAACTACAAGTCCTATGAAAAAAAGTTAAATATCAAAGTTGTAGGTAATAAAAAGATCTACAACTTTTGTATTTACAATTTTTTCACATAACCCCAAAATTTATGTCAAAAATTCAAAAAACCAAGTTTTTGGTTTTTTATTTTTATCTTTTTCAAAAAAATAATTTTTTCCACGAAATTTGGTGAAAACTTACCTTTTTATGTCCCAAATACACTGTAATTTATTTGATTTGAAATATTTATTATTTCGCCTTATTTTGACTTAATATCAAAAAAGCACCCTAATTTTCAATCGAAAATTCTCGCGTCAAAATATCAGCTTTTTTCAAAAAGTCGGTGTGCTTTTTGTTCGATGAACTCTCTACTTTCTGATGGTGTAAAAAAAATATACATTACTATGGTAAATGTTCTCAGAAAATACAAAACATATTATAATGAACAACCTAATCAGAATTAGGTAAGTATCTAAATTCAATAGTATGATTTACAAGTATTTTTATATTTTATGAGATTTTCTGACATAAATATTATTAGAATTTAATAAATAAACTTTTTAACTAAAAAAAATTGCAACAATCACATTTTTTTGATGAAATTGTACATAAGTAATGATTAAAATAAATTTTCGAATTCGAGTTTTTTTCGTTATTCATTATAATATTTTTTGCATTTTCTGAGAACACTTACCATAGTAATGTATGTTTTTTTACACCATCAGAAAGTAGAGATTTCAACAAACAAAAAGCACACCGACTTTTTGAAAAAAGCTGATATTTTGACGCGAGAATTTTCGATTGAAAATTAGCGTGCTTTTTTGATATTAAGTCAAAATAAGGCGAAATAATAAATATTTTATAATCAAATAAATTACAGTGTATTTGGGACATAAAAAGGTAAGTTTTCACCAAATTTCGTGGAAAAAAAATTTTTTTTGTAAAAGATAAAAATAAAAAACCAAAAACTTGGTTTTTTGAATTTTTCACATAAATTTTGAGGTTATGTAAAAAAATTGTAATTACAAAAGTTGTAGATCCTTTTATTACCTACAACTTTGCCATTTAACTTTTTTCCATAGGACTTGTAGTTTTGCCGGAAATCGAGATAAACCATTTTTTACCCTTAAACCCCCCCCCCTCCCACTTCCCGAAGTCAGATCGCCCGTAATTTATTTTTCCTTTCATTTTTATTATATTCTTCTCCTTTTCCAATGGGTTTCATCCTACTGTTATTTTTTTTGGTTTCAAAAATTATCGACCCTGGTCTAAAACGCCTTTTTATACACGAATTTATGAGTGTATAGAAAAGTTTATAAACGAGGTGCATACTATACTTTTTCTACGACAAATACCTACTTATTATTATCTTAAAATGATTTAAATCAAATTTTTTTTATAGAGCGCCATCTATGAAACAATAGGGGAATCTGTGTGTCACCGTCAAATGTCATTTTTTTTAGGTACTATAAACACAGATTATAAAGGTTTTAAATCGAAAGGTATTTCTTGAAATTGACAGTTTTTCACAGTGAAAGTAAATAAAATGTTTTATGAGCACTTGCCAGAATTTAAGTTATAGTTTACTGCCGGTGAAATTAAAAGGTCAGTACAATGTTCATATAAACTTTTCAAATATTGGCGTTAAGAAACTACTTTACTAATTACTTTTGTATTTTTGTATTGACATAATAAAATAATTTTCACATTTATAATTATTTTACAAGAAAGGCAATTTATTTTAACGATTGTTTGTCATTTGACAACTGTCAACCAACTTAAAACTAACTTCAGCCCGTGTCTAAAAACCTGTTGCTAACTTCAGCCCGTGACTAAAGCCCCATAAAGCCACAACTTGTCAATGTGTATTTAAAAGGTCATTTAGTGTCATGGAAACAGGTACGATAAAGGGTGTTTTAAAGGTGGGAGTGGAAAAACTGTTTTTTGCCAACACCAACATAATTTATTATTTAAAAAATGCGCTTAACTTTAGCCACAGTGCTGCCAACTTAATTTATAGGGCCAACTAGATGTCACCAAATTAAATGCAATTAATTTTTTAAAACAGTATTTTATATATTTTTTTTATTAAAATTATATAATTTATCACTAAAATTTCTGTTTATTTAAATATGTTTTGTTAAACAAGTATTTTAAGATAAATAATAGCGTGAAACGGTCACTTTTTGTTACTTTTGGTTGTTACAGTTGGCAGCAGTGACGAAAGTGCTTTTATCTCCTCCAGACAAAGAGTATTTTTGACAGTCCCTTCAATTTTCACGTAAAATCGTGCAAAAACCGTCGAAAACAGTGAAAATAGCCGACGGGAGTGAAAATTGCGGTTGCAACGATGTGATTAGAAGTGACAAGCGTGCCGCGATACGACGAAAAAACGCATGTGTGCCCCTCTAACCTACAATTAATTTTTTTCACTGTGCCAATTGTTATTTCCCTGGGTTTTTCGTTTGTTTTATAGAGAAGCTCGCTGTGATTCGTTAGGTTTTTTTTGGATCGTATCTATAGAGGCCGAGTGCAATTATTGACCAATGATACCGATGCAACTTAAAATCATCCGTATTTTTGAACCAATAGATATTTGTGGTGTTAATGGGAGTAAGCTGTGGAAAATCAAAGGATAAAGTTAAAGGTAAGGTAACTTTACTACTTAAAAATAATTTGACAGTTTAGACTTGTTTTTGTTTATATTTGACGTAAGGTTTAGGTACATTTTGACCAATTTTATTAGTCTAATTGTCCCTAGCCACCTACGCGGTTTTAATTTCATTTATTTTAAAAATGCACTTTAGAATAGATTATTTCATTGTCTAGTAATTTTATACTATTTTTAAATAAATTATGTATGTTGTAAAACAAAATCTATCGCCGTAACTAAATTACTAATTTTTAAAATAAAACTTGGCAACGTTGTGGGTCTAATATTCTACAATTCTCCCAAAACAATAAAAATCTTATAAATTATTTTTTTTTTAATTTATAGGTACTAACATTCATACCACGTGGGTATCTACGAATTCCACGCTTACATTTTTTTATGGAATTCGTAAGATTCGTTAGATATTTTATAAAGATTTTTGTTAATAAATTTAGGTTTTATTGAATAATTTATTTCCTTGAATCATACCTATTTAAACATACCATAAATTAATATATTTTTAAAGTTATTTTATTAATTTTATTTAAAATTGTGTTATTTGAATACTAGAGGAAACCTAGCATTTCTGGATTTGGGTTTATCAAATTCTGTGGTTAACCTAATATTGCTCTTTTAACCGCTGCTTGCATTAAAGTGAGCGTGTTTTATATGTATATTTTTAAAATTGCAAAATACTTGGTTATAATTAATGAAAAACTCAAATTATCTTTTGAAAGATAAAAATATAAGTTTTGTTGCTATGATCTAATTTTTTAATAAAGCGTTGGTTAATCTAATAATTTTTTAATTTTTCAAGTTTTCAAAATATACCAAAAATAGAAAAAACATGTTTAATTTTGCTTTGTTAAGTTAAAATTAAAATAATTACAATTTTACTACCAAATTATTTTTATTACAATTGGACACATTTGATTATGTTAAAATATGCTTTGGTATTTTTAATATTTAAAATTGGTACTCCTGTTCAATGCCTTAATTTTACTTTGACATTTCTTATTTAATTGTAAAAAATATAATAAACAATGCAAAATATAAATGAAAAAAAAAATAAAAACACAACAGCATTTTTATGAAATAATTAATTTGTGCTGAATAAACCCACTTTACTCAATGTAGCCAATTATACATTTAGGGTCCCTGGAATTTGCAGACTAAACCCCCTAAATTTTTGACAATTTCCGACCTACAAAAATCGTAGATTTGCAACATAAAATGACGAGTGTTACGGACCTTGCACAACACTCAAATAGTGCTGCTAGTACATTAAACATGATTATCACGAGCCTTGGCGTAATACAGAGAGTGCGGTAAAGTATTATTTTTCGGCGGAAAAAATACATTTTTTATTTTTTGCTAAAAGTAAAAACTCTTTATCTATTAAATAATTGTGATTTTTATAGTAAAATAAATCTAAATTAAAACTTATGACGTTTTAAAAACACTGGTAGGTAAATATTAAAAAACATTTTGTAGATACGTATATAACTACAATTTACCACTATTTACAAGGGTGTTCTATACGCGAAATTGTTCAGTTAGCTTTCCTTTATAAGAACACAAAATTAGCTACATAAACGTGCATATGGAAAAGTAATGAATCTTTATTTGTCAAGCTGCATGGTATTAAAAAATAAAACCGCAAAACGGTGCTTTTTACCAGTGTGCGCTATACGCACAGAACACAATAAAGCGCTTATGCTTGGTATTTTAATTTTCGCGTTAAAAAAATCCGACCCGATAAGAAATCGCATGATTTCTCTATGTACTTGCTTTGCTACATAGTGTACCTATACAATTGTAAAATTAAATACAGTCGTAGAAAAAAGTAGCGATTTTTTTAAAGTTTTGTCACAAAACGTCAAATAAATAAATAAATATTTTATATATTTTCAAAAATTAAATGAATTACAGACATAACAGGTAATAAAAGCTTAATACTTATATAATTTATAGTTTTTAATAAATTCATTTTTTCAACAATTTTTTCTTGTAAAAAATTAAATTAAATTTAACAAAAATGGATGATAAGAATTCATGTTTTTGTCATTTTTTCTGTATACCTATTAACTCAGAAATAAGAAATTTTAAAAATAATTAATTTAAATTAAATTAAATTAAATAATAATTTATAAAATCAATAAGCAAATTTATCTCTCTTATGAAGTATGATACCTATATATTTACATATGATTGATACATTTAAAAAGGTATTTCTATACAATTAATGTTGGCACTTGGTAATAATAGTAAATTATAAGTCTAGACATTGTGTCTATGTTTCGTTTTTTTTCATTTTTAATGGGTTAATGTGAAGTGTCATAATATATGTTTTCAAATATTTATTCTATTTATTAATTTACAACGAATTATTAAGTGGTAATTTTTTAATCTTGTGTGTTATTGGCTTGTGGAGTTGCGCGCAATCTCCTGTACACGGTGTACAGTACACCCTGTGTAACCAACCATAATTATGTTTTAGAGATGGCCGCCAGTTTTCCCAACATAAATCTCACCAACTCCCTAAAGGGCCTGGTCAGCAAGAAACGGAACCGCTACAAGAAGGACGGCTTTAATTTGGACTTAACCTGTATCCTTTAAAAAAAATTTAAAAAAACGTTTATCGATTTGGCAACACTGTAATGTAAATTTGTCCAAAGTCGCATTCATAAACTTGGCAACGTTGCATTTATAAAATTCACAATCTTTTTTCTTAACTCGATTTCTTCAGATATAACCGACAACATAATAGCGATGGGCTATCCGGCGTCAAAGATAGAGGGCGTCTATCGCAACCACATCGACGACGTTGTCAAATTTCTCGACACCAAACACAAGGACCACTACTACATTTACAACCTGTGCTCGGAGCGCAGCTACGACAAGACGAAATTTCACAACAGAGTAAAAGTAAGTCGAAACACGTGCAACACTGCAAATCCGACAACACCGCATTTGCCTTAAAGGTGGTATATTTTAGAAGTATTAAAAAAACTCCTGTGTTTTTGACAAAATTTATTAAATTTGACACCATTGGACAAGTTTTTTAAGTAATAAAAACTCGGTCTTTTTGGACCTCATCAGTTTCGGGTAGACGTTTTGTGTGGAACACACTTGTACCCACAATCCATACAACAAGGTCTGTTCCATAAAGAAACCACCAGAGAGCCAAGTTCATTGTTATAACTTATAAGTAATCCACTAAACTACGATATTCCAGATGGCGCAGCTGTACTGCTTTTGCGCACCAAATTTAAAGCCTGATTTATAGATTGCCTTCCTTCCTCCCGTAGAAGATGAACAATACAAAAACCTGTAAATCTATAAATGGCACTCCGTTTTTCGTATTGTTCATCTTCTACGGGAGGAAGGAAGAAGGGAAGGAAGGAAGGCAATCTATAATTCAGGCTTAAATCGTAATAAATGGCGGGAATTTTAAATGTATTTAGTGATTTAGGTATTAAATAAAATTGTTTTTCTTCAAAATTACAGAAAATTCAGTTTTATTGTGTGATAAAAGTAAACTTTAATTTAATTTTACAATATAAAAACATAATTGAACCTGTTTTGAACTAGTTAAGTATGCTGGGAGAATCTAAATTAAAAACAGTTTTTGGTTTAAAAAATTTTATAAAAAAAAATATTTAAGTAAATTCAAAATATAATTACATTGTACAGTTTTTGACTGAGGTCGAAAATTCTTTGATAGGTGTTTTGTTAATTTGGTAATTTGTTTTATTTAAACATCTTTATGACAATTATGTGTAATTTTGTCCAAAAAAAATCTTCAAATTATTTAATATAAAAAGAAATTGCTAACCAGTTGGCATTTTTTGGAAAACAAAACAAGGCTTTAACTTCGTTTTCGGAAGCACCACAAATGAAACAAAGCTTCAGCTTCAGCATCCTAAGCATCAGTAAAACACATGTGACATTAATAACTTTCAAGTCAAAACTGTCATACAAATCGAAACTATTTGAAAAATCAGACGGAAACTAATTATTCTAAAACGGGAACAAGGTTTGTATTGTAGTTAGCGGACTAAATTGTACGTTTAGCTAGCATTCTGGTGGTTTTTCTATGGTCTGTTCTATCTGGTTTCGCATACTAAAAGTCACTGCAACACTGCACAGAATCTAACGGCGGCCATTTTTATGTTGTTTACTATTCTTGTGCTTTGGGTTTGTGCTGTTTACACAGATTAAAAATCGTTTTAAACTTTGTGTTTCTTACACAGGCACTTGTAAGCCTTAAAGTGCTAAGTTTAACTCTTTTTTTTTTTTTTTTAAATAAACCCTATTGTATCAGGGATGTCATCAAACTGAGGGTTATGGCACGATACACAAAAACCGGTATGCTGATGCGCATGTTATAGCTATCTCTCGCACCGTGTGACGTCATGTGCGAACCAAAAGCTGGCGGGTAACTGGGTTGGAATTTTATTTGCACTGCAAATTCACGTTATATTCGAAAATTTATAAATATAGGGACGGCCTGGGTGCAATTATTAAGTGTAACAAATGTTAAGAGAAAGTTAAATTGGCTGCAAGGGCTTTTAATATTAATGTAACATATTTTAAGCAACTATTAATTTTCTACCTTCCTATTATTATTTTTCAAAATATTTTTTATTTGATTGAATTAACCTAACTTACGCTAGACCGAATTTTACATTTTTTTAATGTGAAAGGTAACAAAATTATAAAAATGCATTTACAGAGGTTATAATAACGCACACCCGCTTTAAAGAGTCAAAAGTAAAAAAAAATCTTAAAATTGCTTTTTTTACTTGTGACCCTTTTGAAGCGGGTTTCCGATATAGGCGCGGCCAAATCTGTATGGGTGCACGTCATCAATGCGCAGTAATGACGTCACCATTACCAACTTTGAACTTTAAAGTTACTGCAGTAGACATGTCTTTAAAATTGCTTTTTTAAGGAGTAATTTTAAAGTATTATATATTTTTTTTATTCACTTGGGTATTGTTTACAAAGAACTGGTTTGGGGCATAACTAAAAACTACTACAATAAACACATGGGAAGAGACGGCAGTGGTAGGGACAAGTCTTTGGCGATGTGGCAGGAGGCTCTTGACCACATCACGCCGGAAATGTGGAGTAAGAGCGTCGACCACACCGAACAACTGATCGCTGAATGGTGTCAACGCGAACAGGTGTTGGATTGTGAGGACATTGCGCCTTTATTAATACATTTGGGGGAAGAATCAGACTCCGAGTCTGACCTGGGTCGCTCTGACGACGAGGACGACCAGTAATTTAGTTCGGTTCTAATAATTTGGTTTTTTGTGTTTTTATATATATTATATATCATGTACGGTACACATGTAATAAAAATTTAATAAACTTTGTTTGTTTTTCCAAGCACATTTAATCAAGATTTGCCTAATTAGTTAATGTAGAAGATTATAACGATTAGGTTATGTCTATCTTAATATAAACACTGTTTATTAAGCAGCCAACAATAAACGAGCGTTGGCTTTTGCCTGGGCACGTATGAATATACCTTTACGATGACGTCACATGTCGTTGATGACGTGCACCCATACAGATTTGGCCGCGCCTATACAATTGTGTTTTAATTTTTATTATTAGTAAAAACCGTAAAAAGTACATAACAGAAAATTGGGTATACCAAAAATTGCCTTTACTTACCTTTTTTTATTTTCATTTTATCTTTTCTCTTGCATGCTGCCAGATCTTTATTTTTTGGAAATCGTAAATATGTAAATATTTTAAATAGTTATTGCTGTTCAATAAATGCAGTAAAAACTTTACGAAAAACGTTGCAAAACCATCGTGCGTGGCTTAAAGGGTAGGAACACGCACAGACGCACTGCCAAATCAACAAGGAATTAACAAATCAACTCATAGTCAGTAGCGGGCTTTAAAGCCCGCTACTGACTATGCGTTGATGCGCCGATTTCATGCTATGATGCACAAATCTTTGCATAGTGAGGATAATGTGGTTCGCCGATGCGATGCGATGCGATGTGCGGCGATTCCGGGCGAATCATCAAAGGAAAAATGACGAATCGACGAATTAGTTTATTCGTAGTTGATTTGTTAATTCCTTGTTGATTTGGCAGTGCGTCTGTGCGTGTTCCTACCCTACCACAACACCAAACAGTATATGTCACAGAGAGAACGTTGTGGTTCCTGGTTCCTACTATAAATAAAATGGAATGGAAAGACGATATTGTTTCCACATTTGTGGAAAAAATACAATTACATCCATGCTTATGGAATCCCAGTGACAAAAACAAAAAATCTTTTATTCTCTTAATTTTTTTATCTGACAGCGAAATGACCACATAACATGCATGTTCTGCAGCGAACATTAAAAGCAAGTCTTCTTCTGAATCCATTTTAACACTGACAATCTTTCGTCGCACAGTAGAATGCGCGTATTTTTACGAATTGCACCGACGAAACGCATCACGCATAGTGAGTAGCGGGCTTTATACTTAAAAAAACAATATAATTTCGTAAAAAACTCAAAAGAAATCGTAGTAAAACACCCGTGCATAGCGCATGCCTATGCAAAACTGTTTGTAACATTTGAATGTGGTTCGCACGCGACGTCACATGCGCAGAGTCGACGAGTTTTCGTTTCATAACCAGCAGAGCGGTTTTTGTGTACCGCGTTTTTTGGTGCGATAACGAAAAAGTGAAAAGTGTCATCTCATCTCAGGTGTTTCCGTTCGACGACCACAACCCGCCCAAAATCGAGTCGATCGAGCCGTTCTGCAACGACGTGTGCAGCTGGCTGGCCGGCGACATCGGCAACGTCGCCGTGGTGCACTGCAAGGCCGGCAAAGGCCGCACCGGCACCATGATCTGCTGCTACCTGCTGCACGCGAACAAATTCGACACGGCCGAGCAGGCGCTCAGCTACTACGGCTCGAAACGCACGCAGGACAAGAAGGGAGTGACGATACCGAGCCAGGTGCGCTACGTGCAGTACTACGAGACGCTGCTGCAGCGGAACCTCAAGTACAAACCGGTAAGTGATCATCACCCTCTTACAGTTTTAACTCTTAAACAAATATTAGAAATATTCCCCAACACCGAAACAAAACGTGCTTAAAGTACTTTTTCTCAACGATGTTGGCATCTTCAGAAGCGAAGTGTCAACTATTTTTGTTGTCAACGCGCAAGCTTACGGAATGCGGTATGGAAATCTATAAATTAACTTTTTACAAGACATACAAATCGTACGGGCAAGCAGCCGGGACGAAGGAAGGAAGGCAATCTATAAATCAGGCTTAAAGCTCATTTAACTACCATTTAGCTTTAAGGAGGTGTCAAAGGAGGATTTATGAAAGCTATGACAACCTTATTAAAGCAATTAGGTTTTATTACCGATGCAAAAATAGGCATTAAAGGCAATAAAAGGATTTTCCCTTTTGGTTCTTAGAAAGCCTGCTGTAACAGCTCATTAAAGTACAAATAGGGTCATTCCGTCGTTTCGGGTGTTACATTTGTTCGATTTTATAAGTCGAAAAGTGTGCGTTTCGGGTGTTTCACGATTCTGTCTCTATGTCCTGACCATTGTTACATTTATTTGAAATTCGGCGAATTATCTTAGGGAACATCCCTAAAAATTACAGATTACACATAATCAATGTCACAAATAACGTATAACTATTTTTTTTTATATAAAATTTTACTTTGTTTTGGGTTACTATGGTTCTGTTTCGAGTGTTACAAGTACAAAAATTAAACACTTTATATGGACAAAATCGGTGTTTTATAGGTCTCTAGGTTCTACAAAATAAGTTAGTAACAAACAAACATAAATATAATGAATTCTCCTCATACATAACTTGAGCAGCTTCGGGTGCGATTGATAAATCGGCAAAAAGGGTAAAGTCGTTATTGACAAAAATCGGTAGAAACATAATTATTGACGAAAATCGTAGTATTCGGTATTTTGCAAGGTCCGTTGCCATTTCGGTAGAAATACCGAAATTTCAGTAGGTTCGACAACACCATAGGAATAGCAGTTACACCCAAAGATAATACAAGGGTATTATCTTTGGTTACACCCCTTTAAAAAATGTGTAACTGCTTTTTAGATGGCGGCGCTAGTGGGCCGTCGAAAGAGCCATAAAAATAATACTTATTGCATTCTTCAACAATACAAAACACATATCAAATTAATCTCATGCTCAGATATTAGTTGGTATTTTAAATCATTATCCCCCGGCCTCGGTGGTGTAGTGGTCAGAGCTCCTGGGTACGAGCCGAGAGGTCGTGGGTTCGAATCCCACTTGGGTAGGGTTGTTTATTTGTGTTTGTCCATTGTGTATAGTCCTTCGGAGGGGACTTTAAGCCGTCGGTCCGTTCCTACCCCTAACCCCCACAAGCCATTCAGTTGGCTTATGGGACAACTTAGTTTGGATGTAAGGGTGGAACTAAAATAGCACTTTATAACTTTATAAAAGAGCACTTTATAACGTTACTTTTACTAAATATTATTACACTAATCAATCTGTAAAACAATTACCTGATTTTTCGTTTCGGGTGTTACAGTGTCAAAGTAACAAGAAAACTCTTATAACGTGATAATTATCAATTTTTGGGGCTGTGGCGCAATACATCAATATTACGATAAATAACCTTTAATTACAACGTGGCAAAACGGTTGACAGATTGACAGTTTTTTTTTTCGTATTTCCAATAGCTATAGTTAGAGGCACAATGGCCATTCAGCAGTTAACTTGAGTACAGATTTTGAAGACCAATTAACTTAAAAATTACGCGATTCTTCTAATTTTTTTTGTCGCACATTACAATTTGGAATGTTTTCTTTCAAAATTCATCGGGTTTAATGCGAAAAGAACATTTTTTTCACCCTCAGTATCGTTTGTCTTGGAATGACCCTTGGGTTTGATTCTTTCCTTCTCTCTTAAAATGAATTAGTCAAAAATAACTAATTATAAGTCATATTTGACTAATTGTCATAGCGAAAAAGCAGTCACTAATAACACTGTGCGACAAATTTTGACCTTACAATTTGAACTGGGATGAAATGTGGAAAAATCGAATCTATGCAACCCCCAAAACTAATCTTTAAAGGGGTTTTGCTAGTTTAGCTCGAATAATGGAGATATACAGGGTGTTTCTTTTAACTTGAGACAGCTCAATATCTCGAGAAATACGCATTTCACGGAAAAATGTCTTAAATAAAAGGTTAATGTGACCAAAGGGGACATTATTTGGTGCTACCGCTAGCCACCCCCTACCCCTCCTTAAGGGTGAAACGGGGGGTAACTTTGGAAAGTCAAATGGAATGACCCGATTTTTTTCACAGAGTTTGGTAGTACATAAAAAAATGATTAACTTTTATTTGAAAGTTTTTTTCAATTTATCAACAAATGGCGCTCAAAATTTAAGAAAAAGGGATTTCCTTGTAAAATGTATTATTTGAAACGTTTGAAAAACAAAAATTAACATTAAATCAACAATAGTCGGCTCTGAAAACAATTTATAACAAATGTTCGAAATGTCGTCCTTCCATTTCGACACCAAGTGGAGCACCAGCGTCCCTGGTCGGTAAACGTTTGGTGCGGTACCTTTGGCGAACGATTAATCGGACTCTTCTTTATTGACGGTGCATTAAATGGCGAAAAGTACCGGAATTTTCTAGAAAACGATCTGACGGACCTTTTGGAGGATGTACCACTAGCACGGCTCCAAAATATGGTACCAGCAAGATGGTTGTCCTGCACATTATTCGACAATTGCTCGAGAGGTGTTGGATCGAGAGTTCAATGGCCGGTGCACCGCGGTGGATCGGTAGACGTGGTCCAGTAATTTGGCCTGCTCGATCACCTGATCTTACGCCACCAGACTTCTTCTAGTGGGGTTACTTGAAAGAAAAAGTTTACGCTGCAATTCCTACAACTTGGGAGGACATGGTGGAGCAGATCAGGAACGCCTGTGCGGCGATACCGCCCGATATGTTGGCGCGTTGTGTGCCAGAATTCATTACCCGCATTCAAAAATGTGTTGAAATGGAATGACGACATTTCGAACATTTGTTATAAATTGTTTTCATAGCCGACTATTGTTGTTAATGTTAATTTTTGTTTTTCAAACGTTTCAAATAATACATTTTACAAGGAAACTCATTTTTCTTAAATTTTGAATTACAGCGCCATCTGTTGATAAATTGAAAAAAGTTTTAAATAAAATTTATTTATTTTTTTATGTACTACCAAACTCTGTGAAAAAAATCGGGTCATTCCATTTGACTTTCCAAAGTTACCCCCCGTTTCACCCTTAAGGAGGGGTAGGGGGTGGCTAGCGGTAGCACCAAATAATGTCCCCTATAGTCACATTAACCTTTTATTTAAGACATTTTTCCGTGAAATGCGTATTTCTCGAGATATTGAGCTGTCTCAAGTTAAAAGAAACACCCTGTACATATATATATGTATATCTCCATTATTCGAGCTAAACTGGTAAAACCCCTTAAAGGATTTGTTTTGGGGGTTGCCTAGATTCGATTTTTTCAGATTTGATCCCAGTTCATTTTTTGTGTTGCACAGTGTAATTAGTCAAATTCTACTGAATGAAATAGTCAAATTAGTAGATTTAAATTTAAAAAAGTTTGACCCAGTCGGGGATTGAACTTAGGTCTGTCACTTGTCAAGCTGTTGACATAACTAATGTGGCTATCAGTCACTCTTATAAAAATTAATTTTATTTGTCAATAAATATTCTTCATAATATTTTAAAGTTGAATGAATATATTATTTGTGTTGCTGTTTTGAGCTCAACTTTTTACACCTTTCTTGTTTTTATGGGTCATTTAAGCATGGAGCCTATATAGAGATGCGACTTGAAAAAAACGGTCCGTTTTTTTGTTTTTTTTCAGGTTTTTTTCATTGTTTTTTTTTCAAATGGTTTTTTTTTCACATTTTAGGTTTTTTTTCAAGATTAGTCCCATTTGCCTAATTTTTTAGGTTTCATGGACTAAAATTAGCCACTAAATGACAATTAGTAAATGTAAATACAGTCTCGCGCTATGCACGCGCCACCACCACCGAATTGACCAATAAGGGCCGCGCTTGTTTTGATTTGGTCCTAAAAAAAGTAACTACATATAATATTTTTGATTCAGCACTTGATTTTTCAAAAAGCTTCCAAAAGCATTTATTCATGATTTTTCAAATTCATGTAGAGTATGGAGTTTTTTTTCAAAAAAACAATGCAAATTCTTGTAGAACATTTATTCATTGGTGGTTAAGTCAGAACATTCCGTGGACCAGAAAGCCAAAAAAATCGATTTTTTTATTACGGTATTTGTTTGGATTGAGCGTTGCACATTTTTCATCTAAAAATCTCAAAACTAGAAACTTCAAGCTTCAAATTGCTTTTTTTACGGCTCCAATACGACCATTTTTAACAAAGATACAGCTATCCAAAGAATAGCAAAACAATTTTTTTTATCCTTTAATTTTTTGTGTTGGTGTAGAAGTAAAGCTACATTACATTGCTACTGGTTTCTAATGTGGAAACTACCAAGAAATCAGATTTTTTAGTCTCGGTCAAAATTTTCAATAATGAAAAATTTAATATATTTTACTGAAAATTTAATTAAAAAAAAACGGTTTTTTTCTAGGTTTTCACATCTGAAAAAAAACCGTTTTTTTACATCTCTAAGCCTATATGCATTTAATTCAAATAATACTTTGCTGTTGGGCCCAAACGATTAAAGAAATTAGTTAAGCCCGCTGCACAATAGCCCGGTAATGGGAACGGGAACAAGAATCCTAACAATAAAGGTGGGAGAGTCTAAAAAACCACTGTTCATAGATAGGGTTCGCTGAGTCTCTCCCACCTTTACCGTTTATTTTCCCGTTCCCGTTACCGGGCTGTTGTGCAGCGGGCTTTACTTTTAACTCTCAGAAATAGTCAAAGATGGTGATTAATCTTAAATTAGTCAAACTTTATCTATTTATTTAGTAAAAAATACTATTTAAAAGTGAAAACGACTATTTTATTAGTAAAAAGGGCTGGTACTAATTCAAATAGTAGAATTTTGACCATTTCATTTTTCTCTTCCGCTCTTTCCTCGGTATTTAGCGCCGCTGCAGTATTAATTTTGCAGGTCCCGATGTACATAAAGGAGTACCTGCTGAGCCCGCCGCCGAACCTGGCCGGCGGCGGCCAGTACTCCGTGCAGGTGAGCATCTCGCACCAGACTTACCTGGAGGACGGCATGCCCAAGTGCAAGAAGCTCAAGGACGACGTGCACGAGGTGAAGAAGGGCGCTGCGCCGTTCTCCATCAAGCCCGACTACTGCATGGCTCTGACGGGCGACATCAAGGTGGAGTTCTACCAGAAGACGAAGATCCGCGAGGAGAAGCTGCTGCAGTTCTGGTTCAACACGTTCTTCGTGGCCGATCGGTGCGCGAGGCGGTCGAGTAACGGCGAGAACAACGGGTGCGGCGTCGTCGGGGGCGGGGAGGGTAAAAGTGACGAGTTGTACGAGATGTGTTTGCAGAAACACCAGCTGGACATTGTGAGCAAAAAGGACAAACAGAATAAACAGTTTAGTGCCGATTTCAAAGTAAGTACTCGAGGAAATCTTAGTTTATAACTCGTAACCTAACTGGATTTATTAACTCTCAAAATCCAATAATTTAGTCCTTTATCTTGTCCTTTTAAGAATTTAAGGTGATTTAATATAAATTGTTAGTTGGTATTTTGATTGACCCTAAATTTGTTGAAAAAACTTAAAATTGCCATTAACTCTTAAAACGTCCAAATTACTTGAATTTTTATTGTTTACTACTCGTTTTAATGACTTAAAATTACCTAATTTTAATTTGGTATTTTGATCAACCTTAAATTTGTTAAAAAAAACTGCGTATACTGGAATGATTAACTCCCAAAATCTAGTAATGGAGTCCTTTATCTTGTCCTTTTAATAATTTAAATTGATTTAAAATAAATTTTAAGTTCGTATTTTGATTGACCTTAAATTTGTTAAAAAAACTTAAAATTGCCATTATCTCTTAAAATGTCTAGATTAATCAGATTTTGCATTGCTTACTCCTCGTTTTAAGGACTTAAAATTACCTAATTTCAATTGTAAGTTGGTATTTTGATTGATCAACCTTAAATTTGTTAAAAAAACTGCGTATCTGGAATGATTAACTCCAAAAATCCAGTAATGGAGTCATTTATCTTCTCCTTTTAAGAATTTAAAGTGATTTAATATAAATTGTAAGTTGGTATCTTGATTGTTAAAAAAACTTAAAATTGCCATTAACTCTTAAAATGTCCAGATTACTCAAATTTTATATTGCTTACTCCTCGTTTTAATAACTTTAAATGACATAATATAAATTGTAAGTTGGTATTTTGATTGCCCTTAAATTTCTCGAAAATAGATAAAATTGTCGCTTACTCTTAAAATGTCCAAATAACTCAGATTTTTTATTGCTAACTCATCGTTTTAAGAACTTAAAATCACCTAATTTAAATTGCAAGTTAGTATTTAGGCCTTAAATTTATTTGAAAAAAAACCTAAAATTTTCATTAACTCTTAAAATGTCCAAATTACTCATATTTTTATTGCTTAATCCTCCTTTTAAGAACTTAAAATTTTAATTTGGTATTTTGATTGACCGTAAATTTATTGAAAAAAAATAGAGTTGCCATTAACTGTTAAAATATCCAGATTACTCAATTTTTTTATTGCCAGCTCGTTTTAAAACTTAAAATGACTTCATATAAACTGTAACTTGGTATTTTGATTGATCTTAAATTTGTGAAAATAACTAAATTTGTCATTAACTCTTAAAATGTCCAGATTACTCATATTATTAATTTAAATTGTTGGTATTTTGATTGATCAACCTTAAATTTGTTAAAAAAACTTAAAATTGCCATTAACTCTTAAAATGTCCAGATAACTCAGATTTTGTATTGCTTGCTCTTCGTTTTAAAGGCCGTATTACAGCCGGCAATTCTTCTTGCAGCGTCTCTCTAGGGAGTTTGTAGCAGGGTTGGTAACATAAAAGTTACCAAATTACATTCCAAAATTGCCTTTAAACGGCAGTAGAGAATTGCCGGCTGTAATACGGCCTTAGAACATTAAATGACATAATATAAATTGTATGTTTGTAGTTTGATTGACCTTAAATTTTAATTAAAATGAATAAAATTGTCGCCAACTCTTATAATATCCAGATTACTCAGATTTTTTATTTCTAACTCATCGTTTTAAATGTACAGATTATTTAAATTTTAAAATAATAATTAACCCTTAATTGAAAACCTAATTTTTCTCTCTTAGTTGATTGACCGTAAATTTATTAAAAAATAAAATTGTCGTTAACTCTTTAAATAGCCAGTATACTCATATTTTTTTATTGCCAACTCGTTTTAAAAACTTGGAATTACCTAATTTAAATTGTAAGTTTATATCTTGATTGGCCTTAAATTAAAAAAAAAACTTGAAATTGCCATTAACTCTTAAAATGTACTTAAATTTTTAAAATAATAAATAACTCCTTAATTGACAGCCTAATTTTTCTGTCTAAGTTAGTATTTTAATTGACCGAGAATTTATTGAAAAAAAAATGTTTAATAACTCTTAAAATATAGAGACAGATTAGTCATATTTTTAATTGCCAACTTGTTTTAAAAACTTAAAATAACTTCGTATAAACTGTAACTTGGTATTTTAGTTGACCTTAAATTTGTCAATAAAAACTAAAATTGTCGCTAACTCTTAAAATGTCCAGATTACTCATATTATTTATTGTTAATTCCTTGTTTTAAGAATTTAAAATTACCCAAGTTAATATTTTGATAGACCTTAAATTTATTTAAAAAAATTAAATTTGTCATTAACTCTTAAAATGTCCAAATTACTCATATTTTTTATTGCCTAATCCTCGTTTTAAGTATATATATAATTGTAAGTTCGTATTTTGATTTACATTAAATTAAAAAAAAACTTGAAATTGTCTTAAAATGCCCAGATTACTTAAATTTTGAAATAATAAATAATTCCTCAATTGACAGTCTAATTTTTCTGTCCAAGTTTATTTGACCGTAAATTTATTAAAAAAAACAAAATTTTCATTATCTAGGTAACTCTTAAAATATCCATATTACTAATATTTTTTATTGCCAACTAGTTTTAAAAACAATATTACTTTATATTAACTGTAACTTGGTATTTTGATTGACCTTAAATTTGTCAAAAAAAACTAAATTTGTCATTAACTCTTAAATATTACTCATATATTTTATTTCTAACTTTCTGTTTCAAGAACTATATAAATTGTAAGTTGCTATTTTGATTGAACGTAAATTTGTTAAAAAACTTAAAAGCTTAAAATGTTCAGATTACTTAAGTTTTGAAATTGGCAGCCTAATTTTTCTTAATTATTAACTCTAAACCATAACTTAAATAAAAATGGCAAATAATGTTAATTCTTAATTCTAATCTCTTCAATGTTTAAATATTCTGATTGACTAATCCTCGTTTTAAGTATATATATAATTGTAAGTTCGTATTTTGATTGACAATAAATTTAAAAAAACTTGAAATTGTCATTAACTCTTAAAATGCCCAGATTACTTATATTTTGAAATAATAAATAATTCCTCAATTGACACTCTAATTTTTCTGTCCAAGTTTAATTGACCGTAAATTTATTAAAAAAAAACAAAATTTTCATTAACTCTTAAAATATCCATATTACCAATATTTTTTGTTGCCAACTCGTTTTAAAAACAATATTACTTTATATTAACTGTAACTTGGTATTTTGATCGACCTTAAATTTGTCAAAAAAAAACTAAATTTGTCATTAACTCTTAAATATTACTCATATATTTTATTTCTAACTTTCTGTTTCAAGAACTATATAAATTGTAAGTTGCTATTTTGATTGACCGTAAATTTGTTAAAAAACTTAAAAGCTTAAAATGTTCAGATTACTTAAATTTTGAAATTGACAGCCTAATTTTTCTTAATTATTAACTCTTAACTATAACTTAAATAAAAATGTCAAACAATGTTAATTCTTAATTCTGATCTCTTCAATGTTTAAAAAACTTAATAAACATGTTATGTTTACCATGACTTAATTATATAATATTCTGATTAACTATCATCGCATGTTATATGAATATAAAGAATAATAATCATGAAATGTTTATTATCTCTGAAAGAGTTAAAGCTTAGCTCTTGTTATTTTGTAGTTGACGGTCATACTACAGAGAATACCGTGCGTGGACGGGGTGGCGAGCGAGGACGGCCTCCCCCCTTTAGCCTACATCAACAACAGGGGCGGCGTCGGGGTGGGAGCGGGCGGCCAGGACTCCCCCAGCGACATGTCCGAGTCGAGCTCGAGCTTCTCCAACGACGACGACTGGGATAGCGGTGAGGCAAACAATCTATTACAGCTACACAACACGAGATCTAGACGTGAATAATATAATATTACGATTTAGATTATTTTCTGATTTTTTTTTCTTTCTGAACGATGATTAGTTATGAACAATGGCGAAAAATGTGACAAAATGCAACATTCTTAGAATTATGGGGTTTCTTTTAATACTCATTGCATAACTCTTAACAACAAAATTTGATTTACAACTTTGGACATGTATGTGGTCTTAAAAATTGTGGGGTTTTATTAAATAACTCTAACCATTCTTTAAATAACAAAACATTGTTAACTCTTAAAACTTATTCTCCGGACTCTATTAGCTTACCCTACAGTTTAAAAGTTAGTAATACAACACTTATTAAGAGTTATTATTATTATTATAAATAAATGTCAAAAAACCCTTATAATGTTTTTATAATTCCATTCCGTTTATTCCAGATTAGATAACTCTTAAATATTAGAAAATGTTTAAAAAACATGTTAAAGCTAAATCCATGAATCCAAAACATTTTGTAAATAGTGCTTTCTTTGGCAATTAACACTTTTAACTTAGCTCTTTAAATGTAATAAAATCCGTTAACTCTTAATTATTTATGACTTCATAGATAAAATCTAAGCTCTTAAATTTTATGGTTAAAAATTTTGCTTGACTTCTAAAATTTTTGGTTACCCTCAAAATTTTGGTTAACTCCTAAAAATTAACTCTTAAATATTTTTAATTTGGCAGGATCCAAATAACTTTTTGTCGCATTTTTTCGCCCAAATCATTGACGGGACCGATTTGATGAATTCGTTGATGAAACTTTTTAGTGCGGGATCAATTTAATTATTTTTTTACCCAAATCCCGCCTTTGTTTGCCCATTAAAGCACAGTAACAACAAAAGTAAATTTAATTGTTTTTTTCGGAGAATTTTTTTAGGTTTATTTTTCGATATAAAAAATTGCGCAAATTTGAATCGGCTTTGCTTTCATCCATCTCATCTTACCATCTCATTATTAACTCTTAAATTTTATGTGTGTATTAATGTGTATTATTAATATTAGCGCTTCGCGTTGCCAAACTTACATGGGCTTAATTTAGATGTGGCAACTGTTTTAAGTTTTCTTTTACCCGGAAAATTTAAAAACTTTTCTACGTTTCATTCGGGGTATTTAATTAACTCTAGGAAGTATTGCAATTTCGATAGCTTTGCTTTTAGCTTAGACTTAGAAATTGTAGAGAGAGTTAATATAATTATAGCTGTAGAAAGCTTTTTTTGTTATTAAATGTATTCTATACATTGAAGACGTTAGAAAGATCGAAATTGAAATATTTCTTTGACCAGTTGTTTCAAATGTTAACTCTAATATTTCTCCTTAAATGTTTCGTTAACTCTTAAAATGTTTAAATATGAGATAAATTAAATTTCTCTTAATTTAAAGCTTAATCTGCTTTCAATTTTAAAAACATGGTATATCTTTGTATTCACTCTTAAATTGTTATATTTACCGTTAAAAACTAAACGCTATTGTTTTAACTTGATATGTTTAAATATACAATACATTTAAAATGTTGGGTTAACTCTTACAATATGGCATATATTTTAAGATTTAACTCAAAATCGTACGAACTCAAGAACACTATAAACTCTTAATATAAAACTTAACTCCTAACAATTTGAAACGACCGTGCGTAATTGTTTATTTTCTGGGTACATCCCGATAAAAAGCGTTTTTAATAACCCATTTTCTCTGCATGTTTCCTGGATACCAATTAATGTTGTTTACTAATAAATGTTTTCGTTTGGGGGGCCCTCTTTTCTGCCGACTCTCCCTTTCTGTTTTTTTATTGCTGCCAAAATACAGTCTTGGAAAACGGAGAGCACGTAGATCCGAGAGGTGTAGGATACAGGATACTGTCGGAGTGTGAGATTAGTTCGCAACTGACACCTTCGAGTAGTGATCATCAGTCTGAATTTATTACGGCGTGATAACAAAAAAATCGAATTTATTGTTTGTTGAAAGTTAACGATGGTTAACAAGGACGATTATGTGTTTTGTGAACGCGGGGAACTCAATTTAGGCTTTGTTTGCAAGAATTGTTAACTCTTAAAATCATCACAATTATGCATGGTGCACTCTTAAATTATGCATACAAAATGTCCAAATAACTCTTAAAATGCCATGTTAACTCTTAACAATTTTGGACAACTCTTGAAAAAAAATTGGCTAACTCTTAAAAATTGGATAACTCTTAATTTAAAAATTAATAAATGCAAATAAAGCCTAAATCGTAAATTTTGTATAAAACTTTTGATCTAGTTTTACATTTAATATGTTATTGATAAAGTCAGTTTATAAACCATACACAAAAAAATTATTGATCAAATATAGCCTGACGAATTTTTCGCGTTTTTCATTTTCTCAAAAAAGTCCAAAAAATGGTCCCTGGAAAAATTATCGGAGACTGAAAATGTACGCTTTATTTTTATAAAGTTGGTGGTAGTAGTAGGGACCCGTTAATTTTTTAAGGGGCTTCCATTTATTTATCTTGCTAAAATGTTTTCTTTCACCAAAAGAAGTTTTACACTTTATCTGTTCTTTTTTGCTCTATAATCAAAATCTACCTCACATATTTTATTACAAGACAATCAAATTTAAAAAACGCGCATGCTTTTATTCCATTGTATTTTCCGTTTTTAAAATTTTTGATATATTAAAAAATTGATTATATAATTCCATAATTTTCTTCAAAAAAACCTGCTAACCAATGGACCCAAGGTAATTAAAAAACGGAGCCCCTGTATAATTTGTTTTTTCCTCAGTTACTCGTATTACTATCATTATATTAACATTGTAAAATTTTGAGTTAACTCTTAATTTATTTATTTATTTAAACAATTGAAATGTCCAGTTAAACTCTTAATCTTTTTATAAGTAACTTTAAAAATTGTGTTTTAATAGTTAACTCTTAAAAAAACACTTTACAGTTAACACAGTAAACATTGTGTTTTAATGTTTAATTAACTCTTAATATATCAAGTTAGGTCTTAATATTCTAATATTTTTGTTGATTTAATTTTTTGTTTAAAATTTTAAGTAAAATTTAATTTTAATGATTTACTCTTACAATGTCAAGTTAGCTCTTAATACGAAATATTAATGATTAACTCTTTAAATGTTGAAATAACTCTTAATTTTGCAATAGCAACTATTAATATGTTAAGTAAACATTGCAGTTTGGTCTTAAAACGGGTTAACTCTTAAAATGACAAGTTAGTTTTGTAATAAATCTTGGTTGTTAACTCTTTAAATTTTAAGAGTTAATTAAACCTATGAAATATACAGGGGCTTCAATAAAAACTTGTTTGTCTAATAATGTTGATTTTTTGTTTCGTACATGTTTTTATTTATGTGTTTTGTTATTGTTATGGTTGAAGATGCATTTATAACTGGGTTATAACACTGCGTGTATTTCCAGGTGAATCTACATACTTGTGAGGGGATATCTCCTGGCATGCTATAGGATACTGTAAATATATTGCATGGGATAATTTTTTATTTTTTTTTTAATTTTTGATCGCACTAAAATTGCAAAACTCCGTCACAGTCTAAACGCCAACTACCCCAGTGAAAGTCTGTACATATACGATTAGAATGTGCGTGACGTGACTTTGGGAGTTTTGTCGTTTTGGTTGCGATGTTCATTTGTTCATATCACTCGCTTGCTTTTGTTGGTTGTTTTTACATGTGAAAAAAGGTCAGAAAAATATAAACGCCAACGGTTTCGACCTCATTTTTTTTTAGCACGCGAAGTTTTTTATTATTTTTTGGTTTTTAACACGTACTCTTTTATTTACTTCGAAATTGTTGGCGCTCGATAATTTTGTGTTACTGTGTAGAAGGAAAAAGTACAAAACACTTTTTATTTAGTTGATCTCATTTTTTTTATTTTTTAATGTTATAATTAATCTTTCTTGCCAATATTATTTTGGTTACCGATATACATATATAAATATAAAACTATGTAAGTAAGTTGTATATTTTTTTTTTAAATTTTTTAATGAGTTAATAATTATTTATTAATTTACAATGGGAAAGTTTAAAATATAATGATTTTTGACGTTGCCAGTATTTTTTGTAATATATTAATTTAGGTATATTGTATAAATGATAAACGAAATTGATTGGCTTTTAAACTTTTTCATTCGAAAAATATCCTGTTGATATTTTGTTTTTTATTTCTCTCTTCCTTAATAAAGGCTGTAATTTAATTAAGTTATTTCTCTTGAAAAACCTTTATGCTTAAGGGAGTATTCTCCATACAAAGAACAATACTTCCTTAAAACGCCCAGGTATGGTAATAATTTGTTTTAAAATTGTACTTACAATGCCAAAATTAGTCCCAGTAACTATTTTTACTTCCCGTATGGTAAATCGGATATTTTTAACGTTGTTTTTTTCGCCCCGCCACAGGTCTTTAATTTTAATTTTGTACCCCATCTTTTCTTAATATTACTTAAAAAAATGTGTACAGTTAGGTTTAACATTAGACGTTTATAATAATAATTGTGATAGGTATACTCTGCCCAGCAAAACAAGATACAATCCATTTGGAACCAATCTTAATATTTCACCACATTACAAATCTACAGTGGGATTTTTTTTATCTTGGGTTGTTGGGAGCGGTTTATTTAAGATTAAAACTTGAAATAAAAATGTTTAATAATTGATGAAGGTAATATTATCTGTTGAAAAAACACGGATATTATTTTTGTATGTAAAAATATTGTATACTTTTTATAAATCAAATATGATAAAGCTTTTGTGATAGTGCAGTTGTATAAAAAAATGAAAAGAAATAAATTAACTCAATCAAAATTCATACATTTTGCAATACATACTTTGTTTAAAAAGTACAAATATTACTATGGTCCTAAAAATATTTTTTTAATTTATTTTCGTATTTTTTGATTGAATTACTTTATTTAATGTAGTCTTTTGAGCACTAAGAAGTGTTAATATAAATTATAAAATGGGTGTATAGACTACATTTTTTATAGATCTGAAAACTGACTACTTATAAATAGATCTTACCTACTTACTATGGAGTTTTATTTTAAAAATACCCTTTTTTTCAGAAGGCTTGTCAAAAACCATTTTAGCTTGGTAATTTAATTTAATGAAAAACAGATTTTAGAATGTGAAGACTTGCTTGAAAATGTTAAATTTGAATTTTGAATGTCAATAACACATTCTAGAATGTTAAAATTACTACAGAATGTGATGACTTGTTTAAGAATGTCAAATCACGATTTGGAATGTTAATAACACATTTTAGAATGGCAGTAGCAAATTTAAAATAAAAAACTATAATTTTGAATAAAATAAAATTAGAATGTTAAAATTACTACAGAATGTGATTGTTTAAGAATGTCAAATCATAATTTTGAATGTCAATAACACATTTTAGAATTGTAGTAGCAATTTTAAGATCAAAAACTATAATTTTGAAAAAGAAAAACAAATTTTAGAGTATCAATTTTAAAATAACCACAGAATGTAAATACTTGCTTAAAAATGTCAAAATCATAACACATTTTAGAATGGTAGTAGCAAATTTAAGAAAAAAACTAAAATTTAAAATAAGAAATACCAATTTTAGAATGTCAAAATTACTACAGAATGTGAAGACTTGTTAAATCATAATTTGGAATGTCAACAAATTTTAGAATGGTAGTAGGGTTATTCCACGTTACTCGGGGATTTTATTCCCGCCCGTCACAATTAAAAATTGTGAGTAAAAACTACACGTTATAAAATTTATTTTAAAATATTGTTTAATATGCTTTTAATAAGTTTTTTTCCTAATTATAAAATATTTTTTTCTAGAAGACGCTTTATAATAAAAGTGGATGAAACCGAAAGAAAACAGACAAACGAAATGCAGGCAATCGCGGATAAAATCGGACGAAAGCAGACGTTTGTGGTTGAAAACGGACAAAAACAGACGTTTGCGGATTTAAACAGACGAACGCAGCTAGGTGAAAGCAGACATTCGCGGTCGAAAGCCGACGTTTGCGGATGATACCGGGCGAAAGTAGATAAAACTGAATGAGGGCGATAGCGGATGATTGCAGGAGTGCACCAAACGGACGAAAGACACTTATAACCGGGCTTTCGCAGACGAAGCAGGTAAAATCAGACGTTTTCGGGTGAAAAAGGATGAAAGTAGACGTTCGCAGGTGAAAGCCTTTTTCGGGTGAAAACAGGCAAAAGCAGACGTTTGCGGGTAAAAACAGACGCAGGCAGGGCCGGCTAAACCCGGGTGCAGCGGGTTCAAAGCACCCGGGCGGCAGAGCATGAGGGGCGGCAAAACGAAACTAAATTCGAAAGAAAAACGGGTATCAATCAGTAAAAGTAAAAAATCAGAGGAAGCGTTACATACGAAACTTTTGATGATTTTCTCTCGTTGGTCTAAAACTCCATGTCTTCAGTTTCCAATATATATTTAGTTCATAATTTGTTCATTGGCATATTCTTATAATTGGAATATGATATTTTACCAAAAATAAGATGAAAACTTGTAAGCTATAATTTTAATATATTTGTTTATGTACAAAGTGTTTCACTTTTCAGTCATGTCGTAAGCTGTAACATAATATTTTTTTTGTTTCTAAAAATGCTTGGAAACGCCATGAAAACATTAAAAAAATACCATTATAATAATAAAATTTTAATGCTAAATTTCTATTAACATAAATTGTAACAGCATAAGACTTCGCTTTTATTATTTGTGTCCCATGCTAATATAAAAGCGAGAATAGTAAAAAACTTTGAAAAACTCTTTTAGACTATGGCGGCAAATTTTGACTTGCACCCGGGCGTCAAATGTGTATGAGCCGGCCCTGGACGCAGGCAGGTGAAAGCAGACGTTCGTGGACAAAAGCCGACGTTTGCGGATGATACCGGGCGAAAGTAGATAAAACTGAATGCCGGCGATAACGGATGATTGCAGGAGTGTACTAACCGGACGAAAGACAGGTATAACCGGGCGTTCGCAGGTGAAAGCAGACGTTTGCGGATGAAATCGGACGTTCGCAGGTGAAAGCAGACGTTGGCGGGTAAAAAAGGCAAAAGAAGAGGTTTGCGGGTGAAAAGGGACGTACGCAGGTGAAACCAGGCGTTCGCCCACGATAGCCGACGTTTGCGGATGAAAGTAGATAAAAATGAATGCCGGGGATCGCAGATTATTGTAGGAGTAACCGGACGATAGACAGGTATAACCGGGCGTTCGCAGGTGAAAGCAGACACTCCTCTAGGGTCCTCAATTGTAGTACAAATTTAAGATAAAAAACTATAATTTTAAATAGGAAAAACAAATTTAAGAATGTTAAAATTACCCCAGAATGTCAAGACTTGCTAAAAACACATTTTAAATTGGTAGTAACATATTTAAGGTAAAAAATTATAATTTTTGTGAATGCTAAGAATGCTAATTTTTTCACAAACTTTTATAATAAAACACTTGTTAAAAGTCAAATTATTTATTATCTTAAAATTAAAACTGTTAAAATCTACCTTCCCCTGCCGCGCCCCCTGGAGAAATTCCCCCTGCCCCTTTGCCCTGTACCCCCCTTCCCTTTAGGAGGCGGACTTTTAGGCCTCAAAGCCTCGATTCTCTCAGTGCACCCCGTAGTCGTATTATTGCCGAAATAGCCCCCGTATAAATCCGGCATGAAATTCGAGTTGGTTAGTTCAGGGCCGATTGTCAGCCACCCCGGTCGTATGGTGCTGTCGCGGCCGAAGACGTGCAGTCTCCTCCTGCCCAGGCAGAAGTGCTCGATGATGTGGAAAATTTCCACCGGCTTCTCCAGGCTGCCGTACTCGTTCTCCTCGGATATTATCAGGTCGATGTCCACGTTCGCGTGGATGAAGTCGCCGTCCGTCGAGCGACGCACCGTGCCCTTTATGCCCATCAGGCAGTGCTCTTTGGTGCGTTGGAACACTGCCTTCGGGTCGAGGTTTTTCGAATGCCCGGGGTTCTTTATGTTGGTGCGGATCCAACAGATGTCCTCGCATCTGAATTTTAAACACTTTTTAGAATGTAAATAGGTATACCTTCTTTTATTTAAAAAACACCACTTGCCATTCTCTGCCACTACTTTTTGCCATCTAAAACTCTGCCACTACTTTTTGAAATGGCAGAGAACGACAGAGAGTGACATTTGATAACAATAGAACAAGTTGGATTACTAAAAGGGTGTCAAAGTTACTTTAAGATGTTAAGATTTATTTAAGAATCGCATATCATAACTTGGAATGTCAAGAAGACATTAAATGTCTACAAATTTAAAAAATACGGTTAAAACATAATTTAAAATATGACAAACACATTTTAGAACATCATAATTATAACTCATGACTTAAATGTCAAAGAATATTAAAGAATCAAAAACTTAAAATGTCAAAAACAAATTTTAGAATAATAAAAACAAATTTAAAATTATCAAAACCAAATAAATGTTTAAATTACGTTTAAGACTTATTTTAGAATGTCAAGAACGATTCTTATAGACTAACAAAACATAATTTAGATTGTCAAAAACAAATTTTAGTACGTAAAAAAACAAACACTTCTTTAAGAATTTCAAATCATAACTTGGAATGTCAATAACACATTTTAGAATATCAAAATCATAAGATTTTATTGCCAATAACACAATTTAATAGTATATTATGTATCAAGTTTGATAAACGCCATTTAAGTATGGAAAAGTTTATAAACTAGGTGCATTCTTTACTTTTTCTATGACAAATACTTATTATTATCTTAAAATGATTTAAATCAAAAATTTTTATAGAGCGCCATCTATGAAACAATAGGGGAATCTGTGTGTCACCTTCTTTGTCTCGGCGTCAAATGTCAAATTTTTATATTTTATAACACAGATTACCTATAAAAGTTATAAATCGAAATGTATTTCTTGAAAATTGACAGTTTTTCACAGTGAAAGTAAAGAAAATGTTTTATGAGCACTTTACAGTGGAGTCCGTGCCCGAATTTAAGTTATGGTTTACTGCCGGCGAAATTAAAAGGTCAGTACAATGTTCATATAAACTTTTCAAATATTGGCGTTGAGAAACTATTTAATACTTTTGTATTTTTGTATTGAGATAATAAAATAATTTAGTATTATTTTACAAGAAAAGCACTTTATTTTAACGATTGTATGACATTTGACAACTGTCAACTAACTTCAGCCCGTGACTAAAGCGCCATAAAGCCACAACTTGTCACTTAGTGTGATGGAAACATGTATGATAAAGGGCGTTTTAAAGGTGGGAGTAGAAAAAATATTTTAAACAAATTTTAGAATGTCAAAACTATTTCAGAATGTAAACAATTTTTTAAGAGTATTTTATGATATATCATAATATAGAATGTCAAGAACACATTTTAGAGTGACAAAAATATAGGTAATTTAGAATGCCAAATACACTTTAGAATTATAAAACTATACGTATAGTTTATAAATTATATTATTATTAATTATACCTATAAATATCAAAATTACTAAAAATTTAAATAATTTCAAGACTTTTCAAGAATGTCAAATCATTATTTAAAATGTCAAGAGTAATTCTTATGGACTGACAAAACATAATTAATATTGCCCAAAACAAATTTTAGAATGTTAAATCATAACTTAAAACGACAAGAACACATTATAAAATAGCAAAAACACATTTTAGAAAATCAAGACTTTAATGTTAATAAAATAATTTAGACAAAATTAGAATGTCAAATTAGTTCAGAATGTGGGGACATATTAAGAATGTCATATCATAATATAGAATAACAAGAACACACTGACAAAAATATAATTTAGAATGTCAAATACACATTTTAGAATTATAAAACCTTATAAATCTATTTATTTTAGAATGTCAAATCGATATTTAAAATGTCAAGAGCAATTCTTATGGACTGACAAAACATAATTAATATTGCCCAAAACAAATTTTAAAATGTAAAATTAGACTTTACACATCTTTAAGAAAGTAAAATTATAACTTACAATGCCAAAAACACATTTTAGAATGGCAAAAACACATTTTAGAAAAACAAGACTTGTCAAAGAATGTCAATAACGTAATTTAAAATAATTCAGACAAAATTAGAATGTCAAAATTAGTTAAGAATGTTGAGACATATTTAAGAATGTTGAGACATATTTAAGAATGTCATATTATAACTAGAGATGCGACTTGAAAAAAAACGGTCCGTTTTTTTGTTTTTTTTCAGTTTTTTTTTCAAATGGTTTTTTTTTTCACATTTTAGTTTTTTTTCAAGATTAGTCCCATTTGCCTAATTTTTTATGTTTCCTTGGACTAAAATTAGCCACTAAATGACAATTAGTAAATGTAAATACTCGCCACAACCATCGATTTTACCAATAAGGGCCGCGCTTCTTTTGATTTGGTTCTAAAAAAACTAACTACATATAATATTTTTGATTCAGCGCTTGATTTTTCAAAAATCTACCAAAAGCACTTTTTTCATGATTTTTCAAATTTATGTAGAGTAGGTATGGATTTTTTTTTCAAAAAACAATAGCAAATTCTTGTAGAACATTTATTTCTTGGTGGTTAAGTCAGAACATTCCGTGGACCAAAAAAGAAAGCAAAAAAATCTCAAAACTATAAACTTCAAGGTTCAAATTGCTTTTTTACGGCTCCAATACGACCATTTTTAACAAAGATACAGCTATCCGAAAAATCGCAAAAAAAAATTTATCCTTTAATTTTTTAGTCTTGGTCAAAATTTTCAATAATGAAAAATGTAATATATTCTACATTTTACTCAAAATTTAATTAAAAAAAAAAAAAACCGTTTTTTTCTAGGTTTTTTGTCATGTTTTTTTTTTCACATCTGAAAAAAACCGTTTTTTTACATCTCTAATTATAACATAGAATGTCAAAAACACATTTTAGAATTAAAAAATTATAATTTAAAATATCAAATAGGTAGGTACACATTAGAAAAAGTTTACAAAGTTGAAGACAAATTTAAGAATGTTAAAACCACATTTCTTCTTAATTTGTATTTGTTTTAATATTTAATAATTTAAATTTAAACCTAAATGTAAAAACAGTTAATATATTTTTCATGGTTTGTAAATACCATAAAATAAAACAAATAATAAAAAAAAATATTTTCCTTTACCTTCTAAAACCCCACTTCCTCAGACAAACTCTGCCCATATCCAGACCATCAGAGCTACCACACCACAAAAAAACAAAACTTCTTTGAGCTGCTACCTCCCCAATATCTAAAAAAAAAACGTTCTACCTATAATTAATTTCATAAAAATATTAAAATAAAAAAATACAAACCTAGGTTCATAATCTGATCCCACGACCAAAACTGCATATTAGTAGCCCCCATGGTCCTCTGATACTCCTCCAAAGGCGGCTCAATTAAAATAACGTCAAATTTTGAGTTCAAATTTTTTAAATCGTAATTGGCCAGATCACATTTTAAATACATTGGAGGTGAGGCTGTTTGCTGTATCAACTCATCTTTTAACTTAATCAACTCCCTCAATTTTGGATATTCCTCGAATCTGTCTGCTAAACCTACATCACGTATAAAATTTTGGGGCCTTTGTCCTGTATCGACAAAATGTTGGCAGTAGTCATTGTGAGGGTTGGAAGATTGGGTTCCCTAACAAAAAAATTATAAAAACGCATTAAAAATAATAAAAACAATACCTTTAGAAATGTAGACGAGTCTCTATACACCATTTCGTCATTGGCATCGTCTTTGTACTCATACTTCTCGTTATCAGGGTTAATATCACTATTTTTAGTGTCGGACTTTTTCGTTGGAGCCTCAGCTGTACCCAAAACTTGTCTTAACTCTTCAGCACCTGAAACACCCAACTAAAACGAAAAAAACAACATCAAATATAACCCTTGAAATAAACAACAAAATAACGTACTGTTTGGGCCAAGAGTTGCTTCCTTTTGCGAGATTTTTCGCGCAATTCTTTAAGCATATCACCCATGTTAGATAATTAAGTCGATTTTTAGTTATTAGAGGAGGTAAACATCTTAAATCGGCGACATAACCACAAAATACAAGAAATGTCATTTAGGCGGCGTGATGACTTTTGGTACTAAATATCGCGCGATATTTAAATTTAAATGTGTATTTTTGAAATTTGATTGATTATTGTTGTATGATTGGTAATTTTGATTGTTTTAATGGGTAGTTTTATGACGTGTGGAGTTTTTAATGTTAAAATATTATAATAGGTTGATTTGTGGTTGTTTTTATGTGTGTAATTCGTTTATTTGTGAAAAAATGCTGTAAAAAATGTCGAAAAACGATTGTGGTTGAATTTACTTTGCTAAAACCGTTTTAGTAGCGTTGTAAAACTCGTAAAGTCACCTCGTTAAAAGACAAAACTAAATGAAATCAACGCGTAGGTGACCAAAAATATACGTACTAAGTTAATTTAATTTATTTATTGCTAAAAATTGTACAGTTTTTAATTTAAAAAAAATAATACAGTATTTAAATATGTCGTGCAACTATATGAGTTCACGTCTAGTCGATATGAACAAAAATTCGGACACGCTGTCCGAGATATCGGAGTCCGGAACCGCAACGTCCGGATGGACTTCGAATTGGGACTCCAGAGAGGAACTGAGGGATTTTGTGACGAAATTGGGACTCAAAGACGTATCGGACTTGTATCAGGACCGGTTCAGGGTCGACAGAAGGAAATTGGAGCAGATGCTTACTGGTAAGAATAATGTACATTATGTGTATTTTATTGTAAAGTATCAATATTTTTTAATTTTTTGTGTTTAAAAATTATTAAGTTTTTTGTGGTGAGGCTTTTTATTCATTTTTATACAGGGTGTCTCTGACCAAGGTAGCACAACGTGACGAAACCGTGACGATTTGTGTCCAATTGGACACAATGGACACAAATCGTCACGGTTTCGTCACGTTGTGCTACCTGGGGAATTCCATTAAAAAAATGTGAAAAAAGTTCTACAGAAGAGGGAATTATCAGGGAGGTCACAAACAGGGGGGTCATGGGGAATCGCCCCCCATTTTATTTAGGTTATGATATTTTGTATTTTGGTTTCATTTTATGAATTATCATTTAATTTCACACAAAAAAGGTACTCTTGTTTGAAAGGTCTACAACCAACCGTTTTCAAGAAAAATCGCCTTAAAAATGTTTGGTTCTGGGTTGTGAAGTTTAGTGCTATCTTCAAATTTGAAGCATTTTTGACCAGATCTTCTTAGGATTTTTTTTTCAAATTTTAAGATGGAATTCTGAGACACCCTGTATTAAATTCCCAATAAATCATTGACTCAATAGCAGGGTTCTCCTGATTTAAATAATTTGGTTTAAATCACAAGTGATTTTTTTATTTTAATCAATGATTTAAATTAGTGATGCAACGGTTTCGGGTTTTACGGTTACGGTTACGGTTAGCTCTACGGTTACGAATAAATTCACGGTTATTCAAAAAAAATTACAGAATTACGAAAAGTAAAGTTTATTGTTCAAAATGAAATTAATACACACGTTCAGTAAAGGTTAAATAATAATAACTATATAATAAAAGGAAATGAGTAACATTTTAAACCTAAAAACAGTAAAGTAAAACCTAACTAAGTACCTGAATAATATATTTAAAAAAATAAAAAAATTAAAAGTTAATATTTAAAATTTACGAGTCAAATTTTTATTTAAAAAACATAACATCTGCAAATTCTGCGGAATCAGCCTATTCCTATTTGGTGTTTGCACAAGACCTGCAGTCGAAAACAACCTCTCCGAATTCACTGACAATGGTTTGTATGAAAGGTGTAACACGTTTTCCAGAATGTAAACGGATTTGACGTATAATGACGTATGACGTATGACGTTAAATACTCTTCAATCTTCTTTTTACATGCATTCACAAAGTAGCATGAAAAACCGTAAATGCCGTATACGGTTACGGTTAACCGTATAATATCGAAAACCGTGAATTAACCGTAACCGTAACCGTAACCGTTGCAACACTAATTTAAATCACTTTTAAAAAAAGTTTCTAAAATCAAAAAAAAACATTTAAAAGATCTAAAACTAAAGCACAATAATATCTTGACACTATTTAAATAAATTCATATGCATGGAAAAACTGCTTAGTTTGTTAAATAAAATAATAAAGGAATATACAAAAAATATATGATAGTTGCGGACGGTTATTAAATTTAAAAGCTTTATAATTAAAAAAAAACACAAAAATCATTTTTTGTTCATTTTTTTTTTATTTTTTTAAATCATTGATTTTTTTTAAATCGTGATTTTTTCGAACCCTGCTCAATAGTGTTCAGGACTGACGTTAAACTCGATTAAATATCTTTTTTATTAATTTCTAAAGAATTTTCTTTCAATATTTATGAAAAGCTTTTTAAAAAAGGGAATTTTTTTTATTAAAGACTTTGTTTGAACGACTTTTAGGTGACAACGATGCCCTGATTCCTGCTGATGTATTTTTTGCCAAGGTAATTTTTTTAGAAAAAAAATCCATTTGAATCCTAATATTTTTTTGTAGATTATGGAGGATACTGACACTTACATAACGTGGCCAAACAAACTGAAAATTGGTGCTAAATCTAAGAAAGGTAAAAAAACAACAAAAAATACATTTTTTATAACTTTTTTTTTTATTTCAGACCCTCATGTTCGGATAGCTGGAAGACCAGAAGATGTCCAAGCCGCAAAGGAACGAATTATGACCATCTTGGATACAAGGGTAAGTTTACAAATAAGTTTAACTATAAGCTCCATTAAACATTTCTTGAAGGAGGAATATAGTATTTAACATATGTATGATTTGTGATTTCAGTGTAATAGAGTAACAATGAAGATGGACGTTAGTTACACAGACCATTCCCACATAATCGGCAAAGGCGGGCAGAGCATCAAAAGAGTTATGGAAGAGACCCAGTGCCACGTCCACTTCCCCGATTCGAACCGATCGAACCCTACGGAAAAAAGCAACCAGGTGTCAATCTCCGGTGACATAGAGGGCGTGGAATGTGCCAGAGGCAGAGTCAGAGTAAGATCAAATCAAATCAAATTTAGACCATCAAAATTATTATTTTCTTTTTAGGAGCTCATACCTCTGATTTTCGGCTTCGAACTGCCGATTATGTCCCAGAATATCGACGGGACTTCCGCTTATGTGGTGAAGATCCAGGAGCAGTACAAGGTGCAAGTGATGTTCAAGACTCGTCCCAAGTTGCACGCGACTTTGGTTTTGGTGAAAGGAGTCGAGTGGGAGTGCGATCAAGTGAAGCAGGCCACCATTTTGCTGATGGAGTACATGTGCGAGAAATTGGCTGTAAGTTTCCTGAAATTATTTACTTCCAAACTCATCTTTTCTATTTTATTTTAGAGCCAAATTCCCATACAGATGTCGATGGAGATATCTCCGCATCACCATCAGATTGTCTTAGGAAAAAGTCACAGCAACTTGAAACAAATCATGCAATCAACGAATTGCCAAATTATGTTTCCAGATGCCAATGATCCAAACATTCCAAGTTTGAAGAAGAGCAACATAAATATCTCAGGTAATGAATACACAACAGCTTTGGTTGACAACAACTTAGTATAATTTTTTGCGTTTCAGGCAACATTCATAATGTCTACAAGGCTCGTCAGTTGCTGATGGGCAGTTTGCCTTTGATAATCATTTTCGATTTGCCGGAAGAATCGCCGGATTTGAAAATTCACCCGGAGCAAATCAACGAGATTCAGAATACCTGCGACGTTGTCATCAACATCAGGCAGAAGGCCAAACAAAACACCAAAGCCTGCGTCATCAAGGGAATTGAAAGACAAGCTGGTGAGTTTTTTTGGGGTTGGCAAAAATATAACATTGAAATGTTTTGAAATATTACACTTTTGGAACCATATTGGGCAGATAACTTTGGACAATCTGATCATCTAATAGTTTTTCAAAAATGGCGAATTCGCCAGGATTAACGTACAAATTAATTCCCATAGAGTGCTCAATGAGCACCGCTCATTAGGGTTACCGTTATTTACCAACTTGATTTTTTTTCGCAGCAACCCCTAAAAAAATCAGACTCATATGAGCCCTTTATATTCATATTAAACCTTGCCACAAAGACATTACATTTCCCATTTAAATAACATAGGGTTTCGGCACGTTTTACATTTAATTTTTTTTCTCCCGAGCAAGTTAATATACAGCAATAGGAGACACATATTTTTATAGGAAATTGAACGCTGTACAAAAAAGCTTACTTATGATTTTTTGATAAAATTTCTGGTTTAAAAGTTATTTAAGGTTAAACTTTTATAGTAATTTTTTCGGTTTTTTTACTTTGACTGCATAATTATCATTATTGTTATGAAAATGAATTGTTTATTATAAAAAAAGTAAAAATTATTAAAAGGATATAAGTGTAAATTATTGACAAGACTTTCCGATAAATTAATTTTTTTTTATTACATTAAACGAATCTGGTACTAGTTTTACTCAATTTTAGTACGATTACCTTTTTACATAATCTTTTTATTTCTGTGAAATCCTACAAAATTTTATACGATTTTATAAAATATTATACAATGAAAAATTATTCCTTCAGTACAGCTAATGACATAGAAATTCTTTTAACAATTATTTTTACGACAAAATTAAATTCGTAGTTACGTAAACGAAGTCTTGAGTATGAGATTTCCGCTACACCAATTATTCTTTTCAATTAAATTCAAGTTAAATGTATTTTTCTACTCCCACTCTTAAAACGCCCTTTATCGTACATGTTTCCATGACACTAAGTGACCTTTTAAATACACATGGACAAGTTGTGGCTTTATGGCGCTTTAGTCACGGGACCTGTTAGCAACAGGTTTTTAGTCACGGGCTGAATTTAGTTTTAAGTTAGTTGACAGTTGCCAAATGTCATACAATCGTTAAAATAAAGTGCCTTTCTTGTAAAATAATACTAAATGTAAAAATTATTTTATTATCTCAATAAAAAAATACAAAAATATTAAATAATTTCTCAACGCCAATATTTGAAAAGTTTAAATAACATTGTACTGACCTTTTAATTTTGTCGGCAGTAAACTATAACTTAAATTCGGGCACGGACTCTACTGTAAAGTCCTCATAAAACATTTCCTTTACTTTCACTATGAAAAACTGTCAATTTTCAAGAACATTTCAATTTATAACCTTTACTAATAATAATTAATTATTATTAATAATTGTGTTTATAAAATGTAAAAATGTGACATTTGACAGTTTCCCCTGTTGTTTCATAGATGGCGCTCTATACAAATTTTTGATTTAAATCATTTTAAGATAAGTATTTGTCGTAGAAAAAGTATAGTAGGCACCTCGTTTATAAACTTTTCTATACACTCATTAACTTAAGCACTCGCTCGCAAGCTCGCTCGTGCCTAAATTAAATTTGTGTATAAAATGGCGTTTATCAAACTTGATACATAATATACTATTATCTACTTCTACATTGACGAGCTCTGACTTTATGGCGTTTTAGTCACGGGCTGAAGTTAGCAATAGTGGTTTTTGGGCATGAAATTAGCTTTATTATAAATTAGAGAAAAGTGAGGTTAAATCCGTTGACATTTGACAGATGTCAAATGTTTAACAAAAATATTTGATTTAAATTCTTCTTTGTGTTCGTCGTAGATAAAGTATAGTATGCAACTCGTTTTATAAACTTATCTAGACACTCGTTTTTAGTAAACACTTGCTTGCAAGTTTTGATCGTGCCTAATAAAACTCGTAACTAAAATTGCGTTTATAAAACTTGATACATAATATACTATTATATAAAACATGACACGATGAGTGATTGACCTACTTGAAACTGCATGTGCGATACGGCTGCGCTATGTCAACTTTGCGACACGAAATCTGGGAAGTGCGACTTCTTCCTTCCTCTATTTTGTGGTCAAAGAACTAATCATACTTTAGTGCGCATGCGTAACTAAAAATTTTTCATTGTATAATATTTTATAAAATCGTATAAAATTTTGTAGTAAAAAGTAATCGTACTTAAATTGAGTAATACTACTAGTACCAGTTTCTTTTTATGTAATAATTTTTTTTTAATTTATCGGAATCTCTTGTCAATAATTTTCACTTATCTTTTTTCAATAATTTTTACTTTTTCAATAATACAATAAAATTACATATTTTCAAAAATTTACAATTCATCTTTATAAAAATAACGATAATTTTGCAGTCAATGTAAAAAAATCGAAAAAATTACTTTAAGTTCAACTTTAACCTTAAATAACTTTTAAAACCAGTAAGTTTATCGAAAAATCATAGGAGAGCTTTTTTGTACAGCGTCAAATTTCCTATAAAAATATGTGTCTCTAATTGCTGTATATTAACATACTCGGGAGAAAAAAAATTAAATGTAAAACGTGCCGAAACCCCATGTAATTTAAATGGGAAATGTATCGTCTTTGTGGCAAGGTTTAATATGAAAATTAAGTGCTTATAGAGTGTGATATAGTTTTTAAAGTCATTAACTAAAAATTTAGGAGGCGCTGCGAAAAAAAACAAGTTGGTAAATAACGGACACCCTACTGCTCATATACAGTGACCGGCAAAAGTATGGAACAAACTCAATAAAAAATGTGCCTTTTTCCCCAAAAAAATCCTTAAACAAGTCGATTTTTCTCCGTCCTGTTGAAACCAAATGGTATTACTTGGTAGATCGGGACCTTCATTCTCATTGGGAAACATTTCTGCTAATGTGGGGGAGAAGAGAGTTTTGCAAAAGTTCAAAATACGTTTGTCCTGTTATATCCTCGTCAATGAAGATAGGTCCGATTTTCCACCATTCCTGCCCAGACATTCACTTTTTGCCGGTATTAGAAATTTGCCTCTACTACCCAATAAGAATTTTCTATGCTTCAGTACCTACAATTTTGAAGGTTGTAGCTTCGTCCGAAAAAAGTATTTTACGAAGAAAGTGATGATTATAATAATAATAATAATAATTTATTGATGTTATAACACAGAAGCGTGTACATAAGTCAAAAAATACATAGTAGTAGCAGTTAAAATATTAACAAATACACTTAGATATAATAATAAAGATTAAAAGCTAAAATAAAACATAGATACATTTATGGGACAGAGATATTTTTAAATAGATTCATGAATACCTGCAGGTATTCATTTTTGGTGTAAATAATATTCTTAGTTAAAATTAATTTCACAGCCTTTTTAAAGCCATTCTCATTTAAAATTTTAATCTGTGCTGGGAGGACATTATAAAATTTTACGCCCCATCTTGGCACCTTTTTAGGCGACAATGTAATGGTGCGGCGTTGTTTTTCATTCTTGTGTTATATTGGTGAAAGTCACTATGAATTGAATAATAAGAAATGTTTTTGTGCATGTAGACAAGACATTCATAAATATACAGAGATGGGACCGTTAGGAGATTCAGGCTCCAGAACGCTTGCCGACAATCATCTCGAAATCCCAAGCCTGCCAATAGTCTCACTGCCTTTCTCAGGATACAAAATATCCTCTCACTCTAAACTTGCATATGAAAGGTGACTTCGAAAGAGTGAAAAATATGCACTTTTTAGCACATTTATAGAAACACAGTTCATAAGATTTCTCAGGACAAACAAACTCCTACCAAGCTTTGTGGCATATAATTTATATGATGATCCCATAGCAGGGTAGGATCAAGATATACTCCCAAAAACTTATTTTTTTCCACATCCTGTTCAAACTTTCGCCTGGAAAAGATCATTTTGCAGGTATTTTCCTTGTTTAGTAAGAGTTTGTTTGCCCTTAACCAGTTTTCAGCCTTGACTTGAGCAATTGACATCTTGACTTCTGCATCATGCTGAGTGTCTGCGCTGAGAGACAGTGTCGTGTCGTCAGCAAAGAGGCTAGAAGCACTGTGAGGATCTTCTTCCACACGTAACAAAATGTTAATTTTAGAGTCTTCAATAATACTCGGACGGCTAGGTTTTGGAATATCTTTGACATGACCAGTCTGGATACTTTGCATTAAATAAATTTCAAACTTTTTTTTGTCTTCTAGTTTTATTGCCACTCCCTATGACACTTAAAACTTAAATTCTCTGTTTCCGTTAAATGGCCCATATTTAAATACTTAATATTTGGAGAACGCTTAAGAGACTTCACTGAACGCTTAACATTTCTTCTATCTCGATTTTTTAATTTTATTAAAACCACATTAAAAAGTCTTTTAATAAAAACTATAAAACATCAAAACAATATTAAAAACTATAAATTTTCCACTTTTAATAATTAATATCTCCCAAACTATCAGCCCAAAAGGTATAAATATACTATTGATAAATCATTATTTCCAAGCAAAATTTTATCTCTGCAAGTAATGATTGGAAATATATTTATAAATCCTTTTTATTTATCTGGTAAAATTTCGATATAACCTCGGATCAATTTCAGCACAAATCTGCCACATTTTCGTAATATATCTTTCATTCGCATTTCAAATATCGAATGTCAGAAACGATAAGGTCTCAGGGTTTGATGTAATCCCAGGCGACGGGCGGCGTCTATAGATCCCGCTAAGCAGAATTTATATCGAAAACACGTGATCAGACGTCGCCGATTGCCTGCTGAAAAACAGCACAGTGGCTCGCGGCAGGAATAAATAAATTACGTCAATCAAACTTGATAAGAACGTGTTTTTTTTTTTCAGTGTCGATCTACAAGGCTCGCAACATGATCCTTGGCATCGACGAGCCGCCGATCTGCGCCGACATCCCCCCCTCCTACCTCCCCTCGATCGCGAGCCCGGCCTCCCCCTTCAGCTGCTCCGATCTCCTGCCCACCCCCACCAACATCAACCCGCCGCCGATCTCGCCGATGCTGAGCCCGCTGATCTCGCCCAACTGGCAGTTCCCGGTCAGTACCGTGCAGTCGAACCCTCCGTTCGTCGGGATGACGCAACAGCCGCAGTTCCTGTACAACATGATGCAGCAGTCGTTGGGAAGCAGCGGGTAAGATTAATCCATTTATTAGTCAAATATTGGAAATATTCCCCAACACCAAAACAAAACACAAAGTGCTTAAAGTACTTTTCGCCAACAATCACAACATCACAGCAAACGGAAAATTATAGAAGTGTATAGGATGACGCCACGTTTGAATATTGTTTTCTAAATCTCCCCACGGTATAGATTTGTATTCGTCAGACGAGTGTTTCAATACTCTCCACAGTATAGAGGTCGTAATTTCACTTTTGAACTAGTAGGTATTAATATAAAAATTATTTTATGTTAAAAAAACTATACACGACATGATTGTGATTTTTTTCATTTTATTAATTAATTAAGCTGTGTTGAATATTTTTCCTAAAGGAATAATTGCCAATGGGCCATTAATTCATTTGTTCGTAGATGCTACAATAACCTGCACTGGTGTGTACTTTTTCATCAACCAGATTTAAATATTACAAAACTAACATATACCAGTGGATATAGTGCAGGGTCTACCAACAGACCTAATTACTAAATTATTAAAGTTTAATAGCATATCGATCATTTTTTCAACATAACCTCTGAAATTTTTAATACAAATATAGGTACTTTATATAATACATAAATATACTTAACATCATATCCTCTGTGCTTTACATACCTACCTGAGTGGTTACGGTAAATAAAAATCAGACAAAGGAACCAAAGAAAGGAACTATTTTCAACAAAATCATATGCAGAAATGAGAAAATTCAAACTACTTGCATCCATCAAAAGATCAAAACTTCTTGCAATATTACACCCTCTTTTTATACTCTCAGAAATATTGACTAGAACAGTATTAGTGAGACTCCAGTTTCTATAACTTGGTAGAGTAAAAAGAAGTCGAAACCGTTGCGATATTGCATTGCGCTGTTTTTGTATAATTCTCGGGGACATTAACGAAAATCATTGCCAGTAAAATTCGAAAAGCTTGAGTTTCTATGTCTCTGAAAAGAATAGGAATCCGAAGTTGCTGCACCATTGGACTTAACCCTTTTTTAATAATTTCTAGAGACATAAATGACTGCACCATTCGATAGGGTCGAGTTTCTACCTCTCTGTTGAATATAGAAAATCAAAACAATGTATCTTGTAAGAGTTTGACTTTAAATATAGTCGTGCATAGGTATAGAGCCGAAAAATATAAAAACAAAGCACGATTCAATACAGTTCTGATAAAACTTTAAGATTTAATATTCAAACGCGGAGTCATCCTATACAGTTCTATAATTTTCCATTTGCTGTGATATTTAGTTTTGGGGAATATTTCTAATATTTGAGGAACTTTAATGTAAAATAGAGATCCTACGTCTTCTTTATCGTCCATCTTCATATTTCCATCTCATCAAATCTACACGCCCTATAGATATGTCAACCAACAAAACGATCCATTAATAATTAAATACTTTGTTAAAATTGATCTATTCTTGCATTTTCTATAATAAAAATGTTACCTTCAGTATTCTTTATCAGGAGCATTGGACATAAATCGGTGAAGTTCATTTTTTGTGAAGGTTCTCGACTTTTTTGGAAGTAGCCTTCATTTTGCCTCTTCAAATACGCCCGCAGTTTTAAGAATTTGCTGATATCCACTTCATGCTTGATATTAAGTTATATTGTGACCAAATTGACGAAGGGAGGATACCCATCGATTTCTCTGTCCTACACTCCCCATTTGAATAGTATTCAATGAATACTAAATTTTAAAGTTTTATTAGAACTGTATTGAATCGTGCTTTGTTTTTATATTTTTCGCCTCTATACCTATGCACGACTAAAAAAAAGTCAAACTCCTATGGTGTCTTACAAGATACATTATTTTGATTTTCGATCTATATTCAACAGAAAGGTTGAAACTCGACCCTGTTGATGATGCAGTCATTTATGTCTCTAGAAATTATTGAAAAAAGGGACAGTCCAATGGTGCAGCAACTTCGGATTCTTATTCTCTTCAGAGACAGAAACTCAAGCTTTTCGAATTTTACTTTCAATGATTTTCGTAAATTTCCCCGAAAATTATAAAAAAACAGCGCAATAAAATATCGCAACGGTTTCGACTTCTCTTTACTCTACCAAGTTATAGAAACTGGAGTCTTTCTAATACTGTTCTAGTCAATATTTCTGAGAGCATAAAAAGAGGGTGTATTGCAAGAAGTTTTGATCTTTTTTTGGATGTAAGTATTTTGAATGTTCTCATTTCTACATATGATTTTGTTAAAAACACTTCCTTTCTTTCGTTCTTTCTCTGATTTTTGTTTACCGTACCCTGATAGCACAGTTTATTCTAAGAATGTTTTTTAAACCTTCCAGTGAGAATATTCTTAGGATCATGCTATATTACTTCTAGTCATGTTCTAAGAATGTTTTTTAAACCTTCCAGTGAGAATATTCTTAGGATCATGCTATATTTCTTCTAGGCATGTTCTAAGAATGTTTTTTAAACCTTCCAGTGAGAATATTCTTAGGATCATCCTATATTTCTTCTAAAGAACATGCTTAAAAGAAATATAGCATAATCCTAAGAATATTCTCACTGGCCTCTAGGCAGGTTCTTAGAAGGTGCAAAGTTTAGTGGTAAAAATTAATCGACTCTAAGCATATGCTTAGAATGTTGAGAAAGTAATTAGTATTAAATACTAAGTAAAAAACAACCCAAAATATTTTTTATAGTTATTTATCAAATTAAAACAATATTAGATAACAAAAATACTTTTGCTATAGGTATCTAAATTATCCGGCTTTTACATAAAATCTTCTATCCAACTTAAATACAATGAAAAATGTTTTTTTTATGAAGAACTTTTTGGTTTTTTCTTTTATGAAGAATTATTTATTAAGTAAATATTTTGTTTTTTATATTTTATTTAATGTTAAAAATAATATTTATTAATTTGTATACCGATTTTTTATTTCTGAATTAACATTTTTATGTATAATAATCCTAACTATCTTCAACTTCAATCTAATCTGACTTATCCCACAAAATTTTCCAATTTTACTTTTTATGTAATAATGTCATACAACTTATGGTTTAGAGGTCAAATTGTTTATTTAATACTTTTAAATAAATATATATTAATATGTCACAAAAATTTTTAAGGGGACGACAAATACATTTCACTGTCATATTATGACAGTGAGGCGTATTTGTCGTCTCCTGAAGAATTTTACGAATGTAAAATACAACATATTAGAACGTGGGTATCTGACATATTTGGAAATATTCTCAAAAGCTTCCTAGAAGCTCCATAAGAAACCTTCTAAGAACATTCCGAAAACGTATTCTTAAAATGTTCTTAGATTGCTTTTTAGGAAGGTTTTAAGAAGCTTCTAAGAATCTACTGGCATCATTAAAAGGGTATCTATTGAATGTCTTAAAAGTCCCTAAGAACATTCTTAGCAATAAGGGAAGGTTCTAAGAATATTCCATTATTCCGAGTCGTATCTTCTTAGAAGATTCTTAGAATCAAATTTTGCTATCAGGGGTAACAACTCAGGTTTATACAGCACAGAGAATAATGTATGTAACGTATATTTATGTATTAGGTAACTATAAATCCAGGTTTATATTAAAGTACCTATATTTGTATTAAAAATTTCAGAGGTAATGTAAATAAAAAACGATATGCTATTGAACTTTAATAATTAAAGTTTAATTTTAGTAAAAAGGTCCTTGGTAGACCCTGCACTATCTCCACTGGTATATATTAGTACAGCAATATTTAAATCTGGTGGATCAAAGAATCTTGACAGTTTATTTCGTAGATCCTAAAATTGAAAATTCTGGGATCTACGAAACAAACTGTCAATATTGTGACAAGAAATATGTTAGACAAACCAAACGATCCATACAAGTAAGGTTCAAAGAGCACTTGGCACATGCTAGATTTGGGAGGACAGAGAAATCGAGTGTTGCCCAACATATATGGGGATATATCCCCAACATATAAGGGGATATATCCCCTTCAGACCTGGCGTACATACACATGTACATTAGCTTTTTAGTAATTTAATTACTATCAATAGGCATTAAATTTCATTTGGAACCTAGTATTCACCCCCAAGTACATTTGTTTTGGTAAAGTAAGGTACATGTTGCGACTTCTCTTACTTAAACTGCCCCTTTTGATTGAAATATATAATGGGGATGCGCATAATGACCGCAACAACACGTTGACGACAGTTTGTCTTAGCGGGTCTTTAGATGATTTATAAAAATATTTTTTAAGTATAAACTGGTGTAGTTTGTCCCTAAAGTTATGTACTGACATCTAAAAACTATTTTGGTATTATCTACAAAAAAACCGTATAAAACATTCGATGTACACGCATGTGAACATCCTGAAAATATCCTGAAATTTCACAATTAATATTTTTTAGCATGAAATATGTGTTATTTAGGTCCTAATTCAATAGATTTAAGAGCCATTTATTTTTTTTATCGTCGTAAAATAATTCAGGTCTGAAGGGGATTTACTTGATGATGGTCATAGAATAGGATTTGACAACCTTAAACTTACTAAGGAAGTTAGGGAACCAAGTCTGCTAGATAGTTTATACATCTATAAAAATATAAATAAATCTACGGACCGGTAGTTTGTATAAATTAGTTTGGTAGATTTAGATACACTTCGCTTCTGAAGATCCCAACATCGTTGGTGAAAAGTACTTTAAGCACTTTGTGTTTTGTTTTGGTGTTGGGGAATATTTTCAGTATTTTTTTAACATATTACCAAAGTTGTCTTTTTTCAAGTACCAAGCCCACACAAAATTGTATTTGGTATTTTTTAGATTCCACTCCATGAGCCACTTCTCCGACAACTCGTCAATGCAACAAACCAGCAGAGAGGGTAGCAACTTCTCGATATCCAGCAACAACAGCTCCATATCGAGCCCTCTGCCCAGCCCCAGGAACTCAGCCTCGCCAAATTGCTACCGAAACTTCTCCGAAAGTGGATCAGGTACGAACACAGTCAAAAAAACTATAAGGCGATTCTAAAAGTGTTTAATTACAGAGTTATCGTCCGTTCTATCCGATGTCAGCAATCTTTCCAACTACCACCAGCAAGAGAAAAAGAACGAGCGAAGTCCTCTAACAAACTACGATTACGAGAACAAGCGTATGGCTGGAATGAGGGCAATGCAGATAAGACCGACCCCAGGCACCTTCAGGTTGCCGATAAACTCCTGGTCCGGTTACAACATAAGCCACACCAGTCCAGCTGGCGGACTGAAGGACAAGACCCCCACGAAACGCGAGGACGACATCTGGAAGTCGCCCACTTCGGCCTCCAAAGCCGGCGACCTCTTCAACAACATGGCCACCGGCAGTGCCTGCCTCAACACCAGCAACATTTTGGATCACACCCCGAGCCACATCGTGAACAGGGTCACCAACTCCAGCTGGCCCGATTTGCCCAGCATGTTGACCTCGTTGAGTCTGGACAGGTATGTGCCGCTGTTCAACCAGCACGAGATCGATCTGGGGACTTTTGCTTCGCTCAACGATCGGGATTTGGTGGAGATCGGGGTCAATGCTTTCGGTGCCCGAAGGAAGATGCTGTTGGCCATTTCGGGTGAGTTTGTGTGAAAATTCATAAATTCTAGTCATTAAACACTAGGGTGGAGTGAATTTTTTTATTTATTAATTTATTTTTCCTGTATTATTAATTGTTGACTAAAGGCGTAAATGAATAAATATCAAAAAAATATTCCAATTATCTTGAGATGGCGCACACGGTTCACCAAACACCGTTTTTAACGAAAAAAATAGAACAATTTTGAAACATTAAAAAAAAATACTTACCAACTAAGTATTAAAAAAAAAAAGGAAAATGAAAATCTTCCATGTAGATCTTGGGAAATAGCGATCAATTCTTCGTAATTTATGTGTAGTATCGTATATTGATAATATTTTAACTGTCTAAAAGTTAATATTTGTAGAATATTTTTAATTTGAAGGACTCATACGATAGTAGGAAACTCAAACTTTATTCTTCTGAATGCATTATTCAAAATTATAAACGTAAAAATTGATAAACTATAACAAAAATGTAAAAAATAACAAAATAAATCTAAGCCAACAGATGTTGACTATTGTATGCACAAAGACATCGAAGCAAGTTCATATTATATTTTTCTGGATAAATTAAAATTCCTGGAAAATATATTGAATGAATGATGAACTTGCTCCGATGCTTGCTCTGAGAAGAAACCAAGGGCTCTTTGCGTTTCTTTAATAAATTGAGGAACATGATAAATGAGAGCATGGATCTTTGGTGTACATGTAATTCCAGCTTTTGATGATTGTAGTTTAAATTCTTTTATGTAGTCTTTATATTCATCTGCTATTTTTGGCCAAAGCAGCCAGAAACTACTTGATTGAACGCCTCAAATACGGGTATATATTCATTGTCTAAAATAGGAATTATAGTAGAAAACATCCAAACAAAGCAAAGCTTATTATAATAGAAATATATAATTGCTTCGATGTATTTGTGCATACAATAGTCAACATCTGTAGGATTAGATTTATTTTGTTGTTTTTTACATTTTTGTTAAAGTTTATCAATTTTTACGTTTATAATTTTGAATAATGCATTCAGAAGAATAAAGTTTGAGTTTTCTACTATCGTATGAGTCTTTCAAATTAAAAATATTCTACAAATATTAACTTTGAGACAGTTAAAATATTATCCATATACGATACTACACATAAATTACGAAGAATTGATCGCTATTTCCCAAGATCTACATGGAAGATTTTCATTTTACTTTTTTTGAATACCTAGTTGGTAAGTATTTTTTTTTTAAATGTTTCAAAGTTGTTCTATTTTTTTCGTTAAAAACGGTGTTCGGTGAACCGTGCGCATCAATCTCAAAAGTTTTGAAAATTCTAAAAAAATATTACTTCAATCAAAGTAATAAAGATAGCATTATTAATAAATAAAAAGTTTATTTTAGTAAAATTAAAGTGAAACGTAAACATATTTAATAGTAAATCATAAGCTTTAAGTTATTGGTAGAAATGAGATCTTATTTTTCACGAAAATACTGACATTTGGTATCAAAATTTGGTAATTCTATTCTGGCTTTAATTCTTGTTCTGATGAAACCATCTCTCCACAAACCGAGACTGAAGATTCAGTATACTGGTTATAAACAGTTTTACACAGCGTTCCACTGCTTGGGTGTGACACGGAAATTTTTGGAAGTATAGGAAATGGCCACCCGAAGAAATCATATCGGTAATTTCTGTCATCGTATTTCATAGTCATAGGTGGTTCAGTTATCTTTTCTGTCGCCCAGTGAATTAACTCGATATAATGTAATGCTTCAGACTGAAGCATTCAGTGTTTAGTTGTTGAAGCTTTAATTTCCGTAATCTCGAACATTTTGATTCTTTTCTCGCCTTTAATATTTTCCGCAATGCTAGTTCTCTGAACGATATATATCTTGTAGGTAACATAGCAAGTAATAGGTTTTCGAGATGTATATTTTGCTGAATATTCTTTATTAAAGTTATAAGGCCTTCAAGTTTTTCTGGAGGTGTAACATTAAATATGTGAATAGGACCATGTTTGCACGTAGGCTTGGTTTTGATGTAAAACCACGTTAAGGCATGATCATGATCATGATAAAAGTAGCCAATTCTTTTAGGTTTGCCGATGGATTTGCTATCCCCACATATAAACGAATAATCTTATTAGCACACGTCAGCCTTAGGGAATGAGCTAGCTTTCCTTATAAGGAAGTGGGAATTGTACCTTAAAATATCGCTGAGCAAATTTGGTACAAATTTTTTTGATCTGTGTTCAACAAACTAGCATCAATTTCAGGCAATTTTACGTCGATTACTTCAAAATCCACTACTTCATAGTTCAGGCACTTCTTCAGTTCTTTACCAATAACACCTGAAAAACTTTTCGGCCCTGTTGTTGTACCATCGAGGTATGTGAACCACTGCATAGGGCGACCAAGTTATTTTTCCAGTAAAACGATGACAAACGATGTCCTCTATTTACTGCGGTACCATCACATCCTATTGCAACCAAATTTTAAAAGCACATTTGTACGAATTCTTTGAATTGCATTTACAAGTAGCAATATCAAATAGTTTTTTGGACTCGTCGCAAAATAACTTCTTTTTTACATCATTGCGAAGTTTTTTCACGCGAAACGAAGTTTTATTTATTACCTACATATTTTCTCGATGACACAGGAAATAATTTCACATACATCTTTGATAGCATGGTCTTTCCCACCATTTAATTCAAGCAAATCATTTCTGACCAACAAATAATATTTAATTATATCATGTCGGCAACATGTTTTCAGAAATTTTTTGTGGTTCACCTAATACAGGACATCGCCAATCTTTACGAGTTTTAGGCATTTTGCAACCGCTCGATTATGAAGTCGGTATACAAAAATTATTTATTGATTGATAGCGACGCGGTGAGCCACGGCATTGGTGAGCGCCTCTATCGGATGGGAGTATAACTAATTTTAAACCATGGTCATGACAAAAAGATCAATATTGGTTTCAATCTACATAATAATGCTCATTATATTGATAAAAGTCCGCGCCTAAAACAGAATTTGTTTTTTTTCTTGCTGCGTGCGCCACCTGAAGATAAAGTCCTAGAGTCAAAATTTTTAGCATGGTTAATGTACTCATATGTGGTCAACAATAAATGATACAGGAAAGAAGAAATACGAAATACGGCCTTTTTACTTTAGTACATGAACTACAACAATAACGCAATTTTATTCCAATTTTCAACAATTATTATCTTAGTAAATGCTCAAAATGACCGCTGTTCTCTTTTACACATCTCCTAACGCGTTTTTCATAGATCTTCCAAAGTTTTAAAAAAATCCAGGTTTATTTCTTATGGATTCACAAGCATTTACAACCCGCTGCATTAATTCCTCAACGTTATGAATTGAGACTGCATACACCAATGATTTTAAATATCCCCACACACAGAAGTCGAGTGCGTTTAAATCTTGAGAACGAGGAGGCCACGGATTGGCCCTCCTCGTCCTATCCATCAGGCGGCGTAAACAACATCTAAATGTGTCCTTACGTTCGCAGAAAAATTTTGTGTTATATAAATAATGTAATATATTAAAATACTGAATACCTTTTGTAAAGGAAAAGTATTTAAAAAAATATTTTCACAAAGATAAAGAAAAAATATGCATTAGAAGTTTTTTTTATTTTTTTGTGAAAATAAATAAAAACTCAATAAATACAAAAGTTTTATGCCCTTAAAGCTCTAATACCCTTCTGTATTTATTTACTCATCCAGCTATTAGCTTAAGCAATGATTAGAAAATTTAGTACCTACCACAACCACAAAATTAATTTTTTTCCATGAAATTAGGACAAGTTCACAGGTTAAACTTCAAACATTCAATTTGTGTAAATAAATCCAAAAGCACGGCCCTGTTAAGATATAACTTAAAATTTGAAAGAAATGCACATTCTGTCATAAAAGTTGCCAGATTTTGTTTGAATTTACCTTCATTACAAAAATGACATAATCAACAATTCATAAAAACGTCAAATTAACATTGTTGATTTTGTCATTTTTGTAAATTTAAACAAAATCTGGGAACTTTTTTTACAGAATCTGGAAACGTTGGTTGTCACCAACCATAACATAATTAATTAAATTAGGCAACCAGATTAGCCTAAAGTTTCTAGTTGATCAGATGCGTACTTTTTGGTAGGATAAAGGTTATTATAAATTATTTTTAGTCTTTAGAATTTAGAGAAAAAAGTTTCAGGCGCTTCTTTATGGACCCTAAGGAACTACCCATTTTAATATATTAAATTAATCACATAACACCCTGTATATTGGGCTTAGGATGTTTTTATTTTTAAATATAATATTATTAAAATTTTTTAACACCCTATAACTTGAAAACAAAAAAAACTTCATACGAAAAAAAATTCTCGCAACATGACTGCGACAATTTAAAACGTCAAAAACACATTTAAAATTATTTATTTTTTTAGAACTTAATTATTTTTTTTAGAACTCAATATTATTTATTTTATTTTATTATTTTTTTTTAGAACTTAATAAACGTTCAAATCAATTTTCGGCCGCCCCAGGGGCCGAAAGAAAATCTTCTTCTTCATCTAACTCAACGTTGTCTCACTCCAGTCCACGTGATTGGTAAGAAAATCAAAAACCAAAAAAAAAAACGAAAAAAATTGTTACCAATAATATTTATATAACTTATTTGAAGACTTAACAAATGACTAATTTTAGGATTTTTTCTACTGTAATGTAAATTTCGTAATTTATATCGGCGGTGTAAAAAATAAAAAAAAATGGGCATACATCAAAAATGTGTGTGCTGGTATGTTATTAAAAATGTGTTGTGATATTTTACTAAGAAATAAAATACAAAAAAATATCCGTAATATGTTCAAAATGGTGAAAATTCACCCGTAACATAACCTTACTAAATTAACAACAAAATTATGTTTAACAACAAATGAGCTCAAACCAACATCTAAAATTAAGTATATAATGTAATGTATTTTTGTAGTGTTTATAAGGTGATGTTATGGTATTTATTACCCTTCCTAATTAATTTTATTGTATTAATAATCGAATTATTAAGTAAAACATCACAACGCTGAATGTTCTATTTCAATAATTAATTGAATTTTTAAAACAATTCAATAAATTAGGATTTTAACAATTAATTTTTTTATTATTTATTTAATTTATTAATAGTACGTATATTTTTTTACAAAAAAATGTGATATATGTCGGAGTTATAAAATTAGTATACCGTGTGATTGTCTTTTATGTGTGTTATTTATTTTATATGTAGGTACGGCTTAGATGGATGTAAGCAGAAGTTTTAATTTATGAGATTTCATTCATTGATCAAACTAACATTTTTATAGAATTAAAACTTTTGTAGGATAAGTTTATATTGTAATTGATTATATTTATTGTTATTATTTATAGAAAGATATTTATAAATGTTTACTATGCTTATTTATTACCTATAATAAAAATATATTTTCAGTGTAAAAAGTGTTTAATTTAGACCAATAATAACACTGAGTTACAGCCAAAATGTGCATTCGAATTTGAGGGTTTTAATTTGATGTCATGATACTTGAAAAGGGACTACTTTGTTGAAAAAGCCAGCAATTTGTGTTTTGTTTTGGAGTTGGGGAATATTTCTAATATTTGTTTGAATGTCAAGGTAAAATTTAAACGTGAAGCTAGCAAAACAAATGCTTTTATAAAGAAAACTGGGCTTTGATAGTTATTGGTATTGTGCTCTCATTGAACCTAAATAATTTTGTATTGCGTGTGTTCTGTGGTAAAATAAAATTGTAAATGATTTTTCACTAAAAACATTTTACTGTAATTTTAAAAATCGAGTTTTAAATTAATTAAAAGGTTTTTAAACAACGGTTGTTAATTTTTGTCCATTCTTCCATGCATAACGCATGCGTTGTTCAATTGTTCGCTATCAAATTTTATATCCACAGGTTTCAGTGAGACTTCAGGAAGTCGACCGAAGACAACATTATTGTTGAAATGGTAAAAAAGTGCGTCCTCAGCAATAAATGGAATAGCAAATAAAAAAGGTAATTAAATAAATCGATTATTTATTAGGTTTTGGTTTTAATGTAAAATTCAATTTGGAGGACTTAAAACTGTATTATATACAGTGTGTTTCCCCGTTATTGCCCATATTAATATATACATCTCTTTTTTCAAGACTTTGGCGTATTTTTAAATTTCTTTCTTCATTTCAATTTACCTTTAGCAATTTAAATTTTTTGTATTGATATATTAAACTAGCTAAATATTAAAAAAATGGTGTATTCTTTAGCAGGAAGAACCGAATAAACTTTTATTTACGGATTTGATTCCTGTTTTTAATAAGAGGCATCCAGGCAAAAATGTAGGCCATTAATACGGCATTAACCTGATAAAAAAATTTATCGAAACCCTGTATAGTCGACCGTATTTTTTTATTCGACAAATTGCAGTTTGATATAAACTGGATCACCCTGTATATAAATGTTCATCCCACATACATAGAATTAATGATACAGATTTGATTTAGCTCTTTGAACACAAACAAGCAGATGATTATCTCTACGTCAATTAATACTAATTATAGTCGTCAAATAATTGACATTCAATTTATATATGTCGCTTTAATAAAAAATTAATATGTATTTGACGTTAAAAAAAAAAGGTTCGAAAGGTCGATTTGCAAGGGTACAAGAAATCGATTAAAACTTTTTACCTTATTTCTACATATAAAAAAAGAAGAATACACAATGTGTATTACACATAAAAAAAGAAGAATCTCGTCTATTGACAACTTTGTTTTTTTTCTTCACTGTGTTAAAATTTTTAACTCAAAAATGAAGAAATTTCATTTTTTTTTAATAACTTGTTTATTTCAAAACGTATCGATTTGAAATTTGGACAATATGTAGATCATACTAATGACAATTAATCCATGAAAAAATTTTGTTTAGCTTTTAACGTACAGGTGATAATTTAATTTAAAATTTAACAATTTTTAAAGGCTAAATAATCGAAGAAGCAACTTTGTTTTATAAATTTGAGTATAACACGTTGAAGTATTGATATTTGACTATTATTTAATATATTAACTTTTTTATGCAATTGATGTTTCTGTGGCCAGGCTCATTTTTATATAAATATTGTTGTATCTTTTATCAATAATTAAGTATAGCATATCACATAAATGACGTTTAATATACAGGGTGTTTCACGTACGTTGTCTGTTAAAAGTTTCTAGAGAATCGCAAAAGACATCGATTTAAAATTTTAATAGCGTAAATTATTCAATATAGATTTTTTTCCTAAATTATTTTGAACAAAATAATACTTCCTGTTTAACCGGAAATGTCTTTAACTTTGTTATTTTAAACAGAACACCTCATATATTTTTACTTTTTTGAATTCTACATGAAATTCTGAGTAAAATATACCTAAAGTAAAAAATACCTAAAGTCAATATTTTTCGACTTAATTTTTCAATCAAATATTTTAATTAATTTAAAACAATGACAGATTAAGTGGTAACCATGGATACTGTCACATTAACCCACATGTAGAATTTCACAGGTTTGTTGACACAAAATAGTATTGACAATACAATTCATTAATATTAGAACCAATAAAATGCCAGTATTCCATAGTGACGTATTTTATCACAGCGGCAATAATTTTTATCATCTTGTTTACACGTTACTAAGAATTTTGACACTTTTTTTGATTTAACATCTGTTGTCATTTAAATTCTGTATTTGATATATATCAATAAAATAATGAATTATAAACTCTAAAAGATCGATGAGTTGGTGTAAACGATAATGAAATTAAGGTAAGTTTGAATAAATAAGGTTTATTAAAGTCTTTTTATATTTTAAAGCACATTTTAATTTTAAATGTCAATCTGACAAATTTTTTAATTCCTAAAATTCATTATATTTTCTCACTAAATATAACTCGTGGTATGATTAATAATCGAAGATATTTACTCATTGAAACCGAAGCAGCACATTTCACTCGTCCTGCGGACTCGTGAAATCTGCAGCTCGGTTTCAATTCGAAAATATCATCGATGATAATCATACCACTTGTTATATTATGGGTGACAATACAATTCATTAATATTAGAACCAATAAAATGCCAGTATTCCATAGTGACGTATTTTATCACAGCGGCAATAATTTTTATCATCTTGTTTACACGTTACTAAGAATTTTGACACTTTTTTTGATTTAACATCTGTTGTCATTTAAATTCTGTATTTGATATATATCAATAAAATAATGAATTATAAACTCTAAAAGATCGTTGGGTTGGGGTAAACGATAATGAAATTAAGGTAAGTTTGAATAAATAAGGTTTATTAAAGTCTTTTTATATTTTAAAGCACATTTTAATTTTAAATGTCAATCTGACAAATTTTTTAATTCCTAAAATTCATTACACTGAGAAAAATCGTCCTATTAAACAGAGTTCCTAACAAAATTTTAATTAATTTAAAACAAATTTTAATAACCCCAAATAAAACGTTTTCTTATTCTAGATAAAACATAATTCCTAAAACATGTTTTTTATTTTTATTAAACTGAACATTTGAAATGGAATATGTTGTTAGTTATTATTATTCAACCTAATACCTGAAATTTAAGTAACTAGAACCTATTAATAAAATCATTAAAATTAAGATGTTTGTTTAATAAAAATATCGATTAATAGATTTAAATAAAGTGTTTAATAGGTTTAAGTAACAGGTTATTAAAATTTAGTGGACCGAAAACATCCGAACCCTTTTTCCGATTTTTGACCACAAACTCGGTCTTTTATTCGCTACTTCTATTTCGCTATCGCCGCGCACAACGTGCTTTTGAGGTTATCTGATTTGCCTTGCTTGCATAGACTAGTCCAACCTGATTAGAAAGAGTGCATATCATAGAAAAAGTATATATAATAATAAGTGCATATAATAGTAGATATTATAATAATAATAAATGTATTCCATGAAATGTGTGTATTTTTATGGTGGGTGAAGTTTAAATATGTTTTAAAAATTGCTGGAAGATTGAGGGTTGGAAGAGTTTAAGGAAATATTTATTCGTAAGTAAGTTGTTAATAAACCTTATTTTCTTAATATTTTAGATTGAATATACTCAATTAGAATCAACACCAACTGATTCTATAGAAACAACGGTTTCTAACCGCACTTTAACAACATATTCCGACAGTTTAGTATTAAGCCCAGTAGAGAAATTTTCTAGCTTTTTCAATGAAATTACATCGCAGCCATTGCTTTAAGAATCTTCACTCTACACTCTTCACGCAACTTCAAAACCAAGCACCTTAAAAACCGACTTGATTAGCTCATATACAACCAAAAAAATCACATTCAAAGGTTTAATTAGGTTAAATTTTTAAAATATTATGTACCTATTATAGTTAGATTAGGGTTTAAAGTATTAATATTTTTTATTTAATGTTTTATATAAATGTTCATATGTTATTATTAACTGGGCCGATTTGCTTAGTTTTTCATGTACCTACCTACCTAATAAATTTTTTATTTTTATTAAATAAACTTTTTTATTAAACCTTAATTAGTTATATAAAATATTCATTAACTAATTGATTAATTGTGGAGCAAACATACAAAAACAGATAAGTCCATTTTTACATTTTAAGAGTAGGTATTCATACTAATTTTGGTAAACTCTTAACTTAGCACAGCTTTTTAAGGAAAAATCGATACAGAGACAACAGGAGCAACATTCCCTTTTAATAGTTTTTAAATATTTGGGGGACTCGGCTGTACACATGTTTGGCCAATATTTTAGAATAAGTTAAAATGGATATATCGGCTTTTGCATGTTTGCTCCATAATTATCCTTGGTAAATATGAATTAATAGGCGTAAGTATTTAGTTAATAGAAATAACAAACAAGTTTATTTAACCCCCATATAGGTTTAATTATTTTAATTAAGCTATACCTTTAATATTAAATAAACTGCTTAATTATTCCAAGTAAAAAAAATAATAAAAATTACCATAGATTTGACAAACAAGTTTATTTAAACCCAATAACAGTTTAATTATTTTAATTAAGCTAAAGTATTAATACTAATAAAATATTTAATAAATTTAAGTGTCTTGTTTAATAAATCTAAGTGTCTTGTTTAATAAATCTAAGGTTTTATGCTTAATAAATGGTATTAAGTATTTTTCTAAAAACGTATATAATAAGTTTAATAAAAACAATTAAACGTTTCAGGAATATTTTTATTCCTAAATGTATTAAACGGTTTAATTGTCCCATATGGTATTAAAATTCTTATTTAAATGAATTAAAATTTTAATTAATTTAATTATTTCTTTCTCTCAGTGTATATTTTCTCACTAAATATAACTCGTGGTATGATTAATAATCGAAGATATTTACTTATTGAAACCGAAGCAGCACATTTCACTCGTCCTGCGGAC